GGTCTGGGAATTTTTCACCAATGATTTGTTTAACCATGTTTTTTTCATTGTGATTGTTTCCCTGAGCTTCTGGTACTCCAATGATTCTAATGTTGTTCCTCTTGGAATCATCTGCTAGGACTCTGATTCTCTCTAGAGCTATTTTGAGGTCCCTTGCCACTGTTTGTTGTTGCCTGTTGGCTTGGTGCAGCTGATCTTCCAGCTCACTGATTCTCTCTTCAGCTCCGGTCATTCTACAGACTGAGTTTTTTATTTTATCTACAGTATCTTTTACTCATGACATTTCTGCTCTCATTTCTTCCCGTAATTTGTCGATTTTTTTCTGTCAAGTTACTGGATGTCTGTCTGACTGTTTCATTGAGTTGATTGAACATCTTATAACTTCATATCTGAATTCTGTGTCAGAGAGGTCCCTTAGGTGAGCAGTATCTACAGAGGCTGCTGGATTCTTTTCGTTGTGCTCCCCATGTGGTGGGGATTTGCCTTGTTTCTTCATGTTGGTGTGTAGGTATGGGGACTAGGTTTCTTCTATTATGAAAGAGAGCCTCGCTGGGTAAAGTATTTTTGGTGAGGCATTTATTTCATTGAGTTTTTTCACTATATCCCACCACTGTTTTGGGGCCATGAGGGTTTTATCAGACAAATCAGCTGTGAATCTTAAGGATGATCCTTTATAGGAAATTTCTTTCTTTGATCTTACTGCTTTCAGAATTTTGTCTCTATCTAAGATTTGGTCATTTTGATCAGGATGTGTCTTGGGGTATTTTTATTCGGATTTCTTCTAGCTCGTACCCTTCGGACCTCCTGAATGTGGTCGCATGTTTTCTTCATCTCTGGGAATGTCATAGCAATGATGTCTTTGACGGTTTCTTCTTCATCAGGGTTTTCTTTCTGTCCCTCCGGGACTCCAATAATTCTTGTGTTACTTCTCTTGGCTTTATCACGATCTTCTCTTGCAATCTGTTCCCTAATTGTGAGTCTTTTTTTCATTTTCTGGAGAGTCTCTGGACTTCATCTTCGAGCGCACTGATTCTGTCCTCAGCAGCTGTTACTCTGCTGCTGAGGCCTTCCACTGAGTTTTTCAATTCACCTACCAGGGTTTGCACGTCTGAAATTTCCGTTTGTAATTTTATTTGCATTTTCCTTATTTCTACCTTCAAATCCTCTTGTCTTTTATTGACATTGGTTTCCATTATTTCTCTTAGCTCCCTAAGCATCCTCAGTAGCTCCCTTATAAATTCTTTGTCAGAGAGGTTGTGTAGCACTTTGTTACTCTTGGTGTCTTCTGGGCTAGCCTCTTCAATAAGTTAGCTTGTTGGGCTTCTGCGTTGCTTTACCATTGTAAAATGTGTAGCTTAGACCTTAACTCTCACTGTTACTATTCTGCTTAAGATGCAGAATAAATTGAGATAGGCTTAATGAATTATTGGCTAATTTGTTCCTGGTGGTTAAGCTAACCTAGTGTTTAATTGCATCTAAGAGGGTAACTTATGGTTCTTACGGGATATGTAGGGGGAGAATAGCTTGCAGCTGCGTTAGTGGCCACCGCTCCAGGAAGGAGGCCTGCCGCTGGCAGGTACCTGGGTGAGATGAGCAGAGGGTGCCCGGAACGGTTCAGCTTTGGTTGCACGCGGTGTGCCTCAATCCCCATCCCCTGCAGATCAAGGATGAAAACCGGCCATTCTCAGGGGATCTAGTTAGACGTATAGCCCTGGGAAGGGGCCCTGCTGCTGGGCGGGTACCTGGATGAGTGAGCAGAGGGCAGCGGAACGGCTTAGCTTTGGGCTCATGCAGTGTGCCTCAATTCTTGTCCCCCGCAGACCAAGGATGAAAACCAGCTGCTCTTAGGGGATCTAGTTAGAAGTGCAGCCCCTGGAAGGTGCCCTGCCACCAGGCGGGTACCTGACTGAGTGAGCGGAGGTTGGTGGAATGGCTCACCTTTGGGCTCACGTGGTGTGCCTCAATTCCCGTTCCCTGCAGACCAAGGATGAAAACCGGCTGTTCTCAGGGGATCTAGTTAGACCCACAGCCCCGGGAAGGGGCTCTGCGGCTGTGCGGGTACCTGGATGAGTGAGCCTGCCTCCTTACTTTGAGCCAGGCCGACTTCACCAGGGTGCCTCAGACAGGATTATGTGTCATTCTTCCAACTACCCACTAAAACCCTAGTGGCTGCCTGCTTCCAGAACCCAATGAGAAGTATTAATACATGGGTTCAGTGACAACCAACACCAGGCCTCAAGGAATAGGGGATGGTCCGGTTCTTCTCTTCCCCACCACCTGCCTCCATCCCCATGGGACACTGGAGTCACACCCACAAACTTCTCCCAGCTGTTACTTAAGCTTCTTAATGACCAAGATCCAGAGACACACACAAAAAAATCTCTGAACCGAGCAGCTTGCTGCAGATTTCTCCAGACCCTAATTATCTAAAATATTATAATTCCAGGAGCATGCACCCACTATTGCAGCCACATGACATCTTAAACTATTCATAACAAGCAATACAAAAGAGAATATGAGCGATTGTCTGCCATAGATACAGGGAGAGGGATGGGATGGCAGGGATACTGGGGACATTGGTGGTGGGAAGATGTGCACTGTTGGACAGTTGGGCGTTTGATCATTGTATGACTGAATCTTTTTTTTTAAATTTTTATTAGTGAGACACCATGAGGTACAGTTGTAGACTTACAAATTTTTGTGCTAGGGTTTCAATTATACAATGATCAAATACCCATCCCTCCACCAGTGCCCATTTCCCATCACCACGGATCCCAGTATCCCTCCCACCCCCCATACCGTCCATCTCACCCTGCCTCTGTGGCAGGGCATTCCCTTTTGTTCTCTTTCTCCTATTGGGTGTTGTGGTTTGCAAAAGAGGCAATGGGTGGCAATCATGTTTGGTCTATAGTCTACTTTCAGTATGCTTCTCCCATCCTGGGAGGATCCTCCCAACACCCTTTATTTGGTGCTCCCTTCTCTATCTGAGCTCCCTTTCCCCCTAGCATGTGTGGTTGGCCTCCAAGCCATGGAGTAAGATTCCCGGTACTAATCTCGGCCACTCTTGGGTGTTAGTCTCCTATTTTGTTACTTTATGTTCCCCAGATGAATGCAATCTTTCTATGTCTATCACTTTCTTTCTGAGTCATTTCTCTTAACATGATACTGTCCATGTAGTACCACTTGTATGAAAATTTCATGACTTCATCTTTTCTCACAGACATAGTACTCCATTGTGTAGATGTACCAAGTTTCTTTAACCAGTCATCTGTTCTCGGCACTCGGGTTTTTTCCAGATTCTGGCTATTGTAAAGAGTGCTCAATGAACAAACAAGTGCAGATGTCACTTCGACTATACTTTTTTGCCTCTTCGGGGTATATTCCCAGGAGTGGTATTGCTGGGTCAAACGGGAGCTCAATTTCTAATTTTTTGAGAATCGTCCATACTGTTTTCCAAAAGGGCTGAACCAGTCGGCATTCCCACCAGCAGTGAAGGAGTGTGTATGACTGAATCTTAAACAGAAAAGCTTTGTACCTATCTCATGGTGCTTCAACAAAAAATTAAATAAAAATAACTTTATGAATAAAAAATGTAATTTGGAGTTCATGCCCAACTCAATCAGCTCAATCAATGGCTAAATATATTATTTTAGGCACTGATTTACAATATTGCTAATAATAGGGTCTTATGCATAACATATTCCCGTATCACACCCAAGGCCAGTGCCCACTTCCCACTTTCATTATCCCAGTGTTCTCTCTTCCCCATGTTCTATTTTCCATCTTCCTTCCCTTTGGTTAGCATCATGCTAAAGACCAATTTTCAGTTTGTATTATACCCCCACCTTATTTCTCTATGTCTCACTTATGAGTGAGATCATTCTGTGTCTGTCCATATCCTTCTAAGTTCACTCAACACAATAGTCAGCATATCATTACATGCCAGAGCAAATTTCATTATTTCATCTTTTCTTAATGCCATACATCAAATTTCTAATCATACTCCCTCTAGTGGGCTGGAGCAATAGCACAGTGGGTAAGGCGTTTTCTTTTCATGCAGCTGACCTGGGTTCTATTCCTCCATCCCTCTTGGAGAGCCCGGCAAGCTACCGAGAGTATCTTGCCCGCACAGCAAAGCCTGGAAAGCTACCCGTGACATATTTGATATGCCAAAAACAGTAACAATTCTCACAATTTGTTGTGAGACGTTACTGGTGCCCGCTCAAGCAAATTGATGAACAATGGGAGGACAGTGCTACAGTGCTACTCCTCCGAGCATCTTTCTGACTCCATTGACAAAAGTGAAACCTGTTAAGGCTACATTAGCTGTCTACAATTATGTCCTTTGGTCAGAGGTCATTTGTCTAATGGTATGCAAATACTCCATTTTTTAAAATAAAGTCACCTAATTACCATTATTGATACCTGATTAAGAATTTTACCAACATTAATGAGAAATCCCCATGATTGGGAGGGATTATGTGATAGCGGTGGAACATTATTTCCCCAAATCAAGAACAGAACCTATGTCATAGCTGGAACCTACATCTCTTTCAATGGAATTATAAAGAACTGTGGCTGGATCCTGCGTCTAAGAAATCAATGGCATCTGTGCATGTGTAGACTGAGCACCTCCATTCAAATATTCCCTCTTTGCTCGAGCGGGCCCAGTAATGTCTCCATTGCGACAATTGTTACTGTTTTTGGCATATCGAATTCGTCACGGGTAGCTTGCCAGGCTTTGCCGTGTGGGCGAGAGACTCTCGGTAGCTTGCCAGGCTCTCTGAGAGGGGCGGAGGAATTGAACTCAGGTCGACCATGTTGGCCACTTGCAAGGCAAACGCCCTACTCGCTGTTCTATCGCTCCAGCCCCAACGCTCTAAGCTTTGATTAGAATTAGGGTACTATTTCATTCTGTTACCTCCATAATTTCTTTATATACTATCCTAGTACAGAAAATGTGTTTAAACAAATGACAGTGGTATCACTTTGTGTTACAGACATCCAGAGATGACTTTGCATGTGACTTTACTTCACCTACAAATAGAGGGAGTCTGAGCACTGACAAAGATGCCGGTAATTAATCCCTTTAAATTGCCTCTCTTGTGTAAAGGTTTATTTTTTAGTTTTTATTTAAATTTTTTTGTTTGTAGAGGTTTAGAAATGTACCCTATAACCCTCCATAGTTTTGAAATACTTCATAATTAAACTGTACATAACATGATATAATTAAAGTTTATTTAAGTTCTGACTCATAATTACAGCCAAATTTCTGTATGTAGGTTTCCTTGTGGAAGACTATTCCAAATGTTTTGTGGTATATTGAGAAATAGAGGGTAATGTGAAACTAGTTTATAATCTTATCTATCTCCATCTTGAACAGGGCATTTCCATTTTCTGAATCCAAATTCTCGTCTCTCTAAAATTATCTATCAAATTATGGGCCTTTATTTTGAGACCTTAAAACATTTCTTGTTGTTTCATGCATAGTACAGTGTTTTAAAAGGTAAGGAAAAAATCACTTAACCCTTGCTTGGTTTCTTGAGTATTTTGAAGTTATACATAAACTTCCAGCTTTAGATAACCAAGATCTATTCCCTAAAATGTATCTTTATATAAGTCTACCCAATACTTGTTTAAAAAATCCTTTGACTCTCTCCTGTTTCTAACAAGCATTTAGGTTTTCTTTCTTTTTTTCCAGTTTATGGATCTTTTCAAAATGGACATGGAATTAAGAGGGAAGATTCAAGAGGTTCCCTCATACCAGAAGGAGCAACAGGATTTTCAGATCAGGGTAGCACTGGTGAACATGTAAGAACTTAAATGTATAGAATTATCCGAATTATCCTAGTGATGTGTTACGCTACAAAAATTGTTTTTCTTACATAAAAATATGCTCTACCTTCCTGTAGTTCATTCTGCATACGAAGATGCATTCCATAGTTGTGAAAGTTTCAGCAGTTTCTTCATATCCTAACAACTGCATGTCGGATATCTTAAATCATTCATAGGGAATAAGCATTCACTTTTAAGAGTTCTAACACTGAATATACAACTTAACTCTAAAATACTGTTACCTGTTCTAGAGAGGAAGGTTTAAGTTTAAAACATTGAATTTTTTTACTTTAAGAAACATTTATTGTTTCTTTTCATATTTAATGATATTTCCTTGAAAAAAATTAGGTTCCCAAATTGATGATTCTAGCATTGCTAGAGTGTATTCTCCAACTATTTCAATCAGATTGCTTTAAGCTTAATACCAAAGTTTGAAATATGTCTTCTGGAGGAAGAGAAACCTCATTTTGGGCCAGTAATGTATGGTCATACGGCTGTGTTCATAAAAATAATGAATTCCAACTTTCAATTTGCAAAGGAAAACTGGGACTATGGTTTAGAATAACCAAACAGCTAAAGCAGGACCAAGCCTGAACCCTGATTTTCTAATTCTAGCACTTCATCTCCAGTATCATGGTACTTTTAAGTTGGCATCCATTACCTGGGGGCTTTATAAAAATATATGATTAGGCCTCCCTGAGGGTTTCTGATTCATTCGGTCTGGAATGGGGTCTGCTGAGTTTTTTAAGTTTCCAAGCCATGCTAATGCTGCTGATTGGGAACTACCTGCCCCTTGAGAGCTACTGAGCTATAAGCTCTATTGAACCTTCATATACAAAGTAACTTATTTACAAAGGTTTCTATTTCACACAGTTTTGAATTAACACAGAGAAACATAATGAGCCTAGGTAAAGCAAACAAGTCCATTTACCATGACTTGTTAGATACAATGACTTGTTAGTCATGCAGCTAGTAAACATTTAACATCTACATATTTAGGGTCAAAGAGATAGTACAATGAGTACTGTCTACATGGAGAGTACCAAGCTGAGTGAAATGAATCAGAGGAAGAGGGACAGACATAGACAGATAGCACTCATCTGTGGGATATAAAAACATATTATGAATCAATACCCCAGGACAGTAGAAATGAGGACCAGGACTGGTCCATGGTTGGAAGCTTGCCACAAGTGGCTGGGTGTGGAGGGAGGCAATTAGGACAGAGAAGAGACCACCATAGCAGTAATAGTTGGAAATGATCATTCTGGATGAGAACTAAGTTCTGGAAAATGGTAAAGGGAGATGCATGATAACCTTTGAGTACTTTTATTGTGAGCCATAATGCCCCAAAAGAAAGAGCAATAAAGTGTCTGTCATAGAGGGAGACAGGAGTGGTGGTCGCTGGAGGGAAATTGGGGACACTGTTGGTAGAAAATGTACAATAATGAAGGCATGGGTGTTGGAACGTTGTATGACTAAAACCCAGTCATGAACAACTTTTTAACTGTGTATCTCATGGTGATTCAAGAAAACATTTTCTTAAAATACAAGTAGAAAAAAAATTTAAAAATGTATTTCCTAAAAATATAGAATAAAATCTACATGTTCGGGTTGGAGAGATAGCCACTCAGGTTTTATCTCTGGCACCAGGTATGTTCCTCTAAGTCCCACCCAGAACACAAGGGTGCATAGGAGTCATAGAAATAAGCCCTGTGCACCTCCTGGTATGGTTCATAACCTCCTGAGCATCAAGTCAAATCTAATCAAGTAACATCTACATGTTTATGGCCTTGTAAGTGTAACCTGCAAGTTTGAGCTTGCAGAGCTCCACACATTCATCACTCCACACATACAGTACACTGACCTTGCACTAGTGATATGTAATACATAATATTGTGCCTATTGATACCTGGTGACATAGAACTGCAAGTTTGAGTGCTGGTACTAGTCTAGTTACTGCTGATTGTTATCCCTGGCTCTACTGGTGTGATCCTCGGCTCCGTAACTAAGTATGTGAGCACCTCAACCAAATGTGACCCTCTATTTACAATCACATCCACAAAAATGAAGGGTTGGGAAGAGAAAAAGCCCATGTGTTTTCTTCCAAGGCTAATTTCTTAATAAATATTTTTAAAACAATATTCACTCACCAGAAGTAATACCTGAGCACAGAACCAGGAGTAAGCCCTAAGTACCACCAGATGTGGCCCACACCACCCCCAAGATAAAAATAAAAAAACAAAGCAGTATTATTTGTTCGTAGTCTGGGCGCCACACTGGTAGTGCTCTAAGGAACTATCTGGTGGCTGGAATTGGACCTGGCCCTCCCACATTCAAAGTATCTGTTCCAGTCCTTTGAGCCATATCCCTGACTTCTTTCATAGCAAATCTTACTAGAGTAAGTATATATCCCCAGTCCAGTTAAACTCAATAGAAAATCTTTGCCTTCGCAAGGGTAAATTATTTTTTATAAGCCAATTTATCATTGGTTGACAATAATTAAGAATCCCAGGGGTACAACTTTACACTTCTATATGTGTATAGAACTCACTGCATCTACCACCAAAATTTCAGTATCATCCCACTCTCCCAACGACCTCTATAACTGTTCCTCTTTCCTAGCCCCCAAACATCCCATATTCCTATGACAACTGCCCTATCAGAGGGTGGAATCTACTTGTGAGTTAACAAAGGCAAAATCTTTAGGATATGATTATTTATATAATCTCCTCAAGTCAGTCAGATTTTGTAATGGTTAATAACTGTTATTTTCCCTTTGGAGTGCTGGGAATCAAACCTAGTGTCTCATATGTATTAAGTATACACTCTGAATATTTTAAACAGCTCTGGCCCCAAAAGTTGATTTTTAAGTCATTAAATAGAACATCAATACTTTGTAAGACTCTAATTTTTAAGTATTACTTATTGGATTTTCCTTAGTGTAATTATCTTTAGTCCTTTCTTCAGCAATGTGTTTTTTCCATTATTTTGGTCACTTCCAGTGGTGTTTAGTTCTGGGTCTCTGCCCAGGGATCACTCTTGACAATGCTCAGGGACCTATATGCAGATATGCAGTACCAGGAGTAAAATCTAGGTTGGCCTCTTGCAGGGTAAACACCTTACCCCCCTGCAGTACTTCTCTTTTCCTCAGATGACCTATATTTAGAGCCTGGATTTTAATGAACTAAGGACAGTTTCAGATGAAAGGGTTTAAAATGCTAAAAAGACATGCTGCCCAAACATCTTTATAAAGTTTCTCTTCTAAGTGAGTGCTATTTTTCCTTCACTGACCACATACAATTAAAATGTTTTATTATTAAAGTTGTATGGGACTGAAACATACACAGTATTCATGACAGTTGTCTTGATGAACACCTCAAGGTAAATTACAGTAATTTTACTTGTTACCAATAGTAGCTTTAAAAGCTCTACACTCTACTTACGTTCCAGCTGTAATATTAAATTTGAATTATGCTTAGAAATTATGATAAAGAATTGTTCAAAGGATCTGGGAGCCGGAAAGATAGTACAGAGGGCAGGTCCCTTGCCATGGATACAACTGACCCAAATTCAATCCCTGGCACCCAATATGGTCTCCCAAACTCTTCTAGGAGTTATCCCTGAGCAAAGCCGGGAATAAGTTCTGTGCACCACCAGGTGTGACCCAAAAACAAAAAAAGGGAGATTAAGAAAACTTTAATATCAACTATTACTTCAGCAGTCCTTTCTTTATATTATAGACCCGACAGAGTTCAACAAGAAGTAGTATTTCCCAGTATAACAGATTGGATCAGTATGAAATTAGAAGCCTCTTGATGTGCTACCTGTACATAGTAAAAATGATTTCTGAAGGTGAGTTACCATTAAGCATAAAATCTACTAGATGTCTACTCTCCTAAGTTCATGCCTAGGTTTGTGAAACAGATATTTGTCTATAAAATCTATGAATAGAATACTGGTGCATTAGATGTAGACATTTTAAAAAGAGTTCTGACCTTCCAATGTACCATATATGACTTAAAACAGGTTCCTTTTAGTTACACCGCATTCAAATAACTTCAAAAATTACTTTCTATAATGAGACCAGTTTGAGAAATGCTAAATAATTTTTTCCACATGTATCACATATTATGCATTGAACAACCAATGTAAATAGAAAGGAATGTCAATATCAGGAGAAATATGTAACGCTTTATTTTATACTGAACCCAGGATTTAGAAAAACAGAGGCAAACAAAATCAGAAGCATTGTGAGGAGAAACAGTGCCTTGTTTTTCCAGCAGTTCCATTGTACAGCTGTCACATTTTCATGCTCTGGTTCTTTCCTTCCTTCATAACGGTATCATTTGCTAGTGTTCCCACCAATTCCTCTTTACATTATGCGACAGAATATAACCAAAAGATTTTCATAAACTGCATGTCCTCTAAAAGTAAAACCACAAGGTTATCTTATTCCTAAATACACTTCTTCATACACAATTCCTTCCGTTTGCTTTGTTATGTCTCTACAGGAAAAATGAATTAGGTAGTAATTTACAACAGAAAAGTACCTGGGTTCTGAATGTAGTCATTACATTTTTCTCATTTTTATAGCTAATCAGCTAGGCAAACATTAAAGTAAATCAGTAGTGCTATATGCATAAATAGTTCTAAAGTATATTACAGAAACCTTAAAATAAATCAGTAGCTATATATAACTAGTACTGAGGAACATTATAGAAATCTTAAATCAGTATCTACATATAAATTGCCCTAAAGTACACTAATAAAATATTTTATGAATGTATTTATAATTCAATTATTAATCTAGTTATACTTTATACTTATTTATAAACAAGTATAATTTTATATATAGTTTATAAGAATTTAAATAATTTGGTTATTTAATAATTAAAATATTTAAGTTCTAATGGTATATGTTTTAGAATAAAAGCCAAAGATAGTATTATAATATGATAGCCTCATCTCCATGCTTGAGAGTGGGGAGAAAAACCAGTAAATGAGGATCATTTTCAATCCTGCTGGTATTTCATTCCAAGGGATAATGATGAGTGAACAAGTTTAGCCACAGCTCAAGATTCTTGTCTTACCACAAAATGAAAAGTGGGACAATGTGCTAAGTGATTGCTAATGTGTATGGATTTCCTTTTTTTAGAGTGACAAAACCTCTAAACCTGTGGTGATGGTTAGCTTATTATGAAATACATTTCTTCATATACAATTTGTTCCCTTAGCTTCATTTTCTAAAAATGAAAAAAAGAGTTAGAAGGAAGGCAAGAATTAATTGCTTAATGATTACCACTCCTCCATTCCGGTACCCACTCACATTCATGCTTTCTATAGTACTCACAAATATCTACCCACATATCATATACTGTGATAACCAGTGATAGCTCTTCAATAGTTTTTGTAATATGATGGGTAAATCTGTCTTGTTTCTTGCGAACTTCAGAGTTCTTTCCTTCTCTTGTAAATGATGACTTCTTGCTTAATACTTAGTCATTGTTAGTTGTGCCTTTCTTCTGCTCTTGCCTTTTGATCTGTGTCAGCACATTTTAACTAACTGATGTACAGTCTGAGTCGCATATCCTATTTTTGTACATAGAAAGTCATGTTGTATGATGTTCAGTTTATTCAGAAAATGCTTGCTTCTGGATCTTAAGATATCTAGAAGTATAGGGGTTCTGAAGAAGTTTTTCTATTTGTAGTAACGTATTATTATATGGCAATAATTCAAAGTTTTAAGTCATTTGCGAAAGTCATTTTAAGTCTTAACTGCCTAATCTACTTTGTTATATTCTAAGAAATAGAATCAGAGTCAAGAGTTATATGTCACACAGTGTAAATCAACACATTGTCCTCTTGTAAAAATAGCATTTCCATTAAGTGAGAGAAGTACTATTCCCCATTCCTTCCTTACTTCATCTTTGCTTTTCTCTTGACAATAATCTGGGTGTCAGTCATATACTCTTTCTTTGTAGATTCAGTAGTAGTCTTCACCAAAATTGACTGATTGGAAAATATCTGGCTAGTATTTTGTCTGGCACAAGCAACACCCATAGATCTTTTTCTTTTACATCTTGAAGTATAGTCTAAAGGAAATACACGCAACCCAAGCCTTTGCCTTGTCTGTGAAAAGGAATAAAGGCCTGAATTTGCATCAGACATATTCTCATCTGTAGTTTCCACTTCTCCTTGAGTTGGCTCATTTTCTCCTGTAGGAAAGAGCCAAGACAAGCCACTCTGAGATTCATATATTTGTGAGGAGATCTTTTGTACGTTAGAGGTGCTCATTTTTGGTTGGCCAGACATGTCTTCAAGAGGCAGTGAAGCACCTTGCAATCCATGTCCCATTTGAGAACCAAGTGTAGCTGTTGCTGGAAATTTTGAAGGATTCTTATTGCCTCTGCCTGTTATAATAATATCACCAAAACTGAAGGAAGTCTTCACTGAAGAAGTTCCTGACACTTCTGAGTTAGCCTTACTCAGACATGAGGTTGGAGGATTTGGCTGGAAGGCCTTTTCCCCTTCACTCTTTTTACGTTCAGAATATGAGGTCTTTAACCTTTTTCTAGGGAAAAAACCGTAAGAGCCTTGTGACTGCTCCCTAGCTAAACTTTGAGGGAAGATATTATTATGCCAAACAAATGAGCAGAGCTCTTGTTGCTTTGAGTTTAGATTCTCAAGAAGCCTTTTATTTTCTTCTCGTAATTGGTTCCTTTCTACAATGATCTTAGATATATACATAAGATTACGCTGTTGGATATCATAAAATTCTTGCTGAAGGTTTTTGTTCAAACTCTCATTAATTGAACAGCGATCACACCTTTTTGATCTTAACTGATTTTGCAAAGCATGGATAGTGTCATTAAGGGCTTTCTTTTGTTTGATCAATTCTTTAATTTTGCCTAAGGAGCCAGGTTGCCTTCCATCAGACCGCTGTTTTTTCAACATGGCGGTTAATCTCTCCTGTAAATGGCGGACCTGTTTGTCGTGGTGTTCTTTTAGCATTAGCCAGGCTCTTTTAAAGCCATTCGATGACACATCACAGACATTAAGGGGGACTCTCTGTTCTCCCAAGGGTTTCACACCACTTCTTCTACCCACTCGCCTTCCCTCTGTCATAATGCCAGTGGTTGCGGCCATCGGTAAAACGGTGGATTGTCAAAGGATTGTCCCGCAGCAGTGATGAGCTCTTACACCCCTTTACAGACCTGAGTTGTCTTGGCACACACGGCAGGCACTGAAGTTTATGGACAGACAAAAGGGATCTGGTTCAGGGATGAGGGAGAAAGCACTACTCTTAAAATAGGTCAAAGTGCCAGGAAGCAGGCGCCAGAGAAGCTCCTGAGGCACGAAGTTTTTTTGATGAAAGGCCGACAAAGCGGTGCATTCTGGGAAATCCCATTTTATAACCAGGAAGAAGCAGTGCATGCTGGGAAATCCCAGCCCCTGTCCAGGAAAAAGTAGTGCATGCTGGGAAATCCTAACCCTTGACCAGAAAAAAAGCAGTGCATGCTGGGAAGTTCTGACCTCTGACCAGGAAAAAGCGGTGCATGTTGGGAAATTCCAGTCCTTCACCAAGAAGATGGTGTATGCTGGGAAGTCCCAGCCCCTGCCCAGAAAAAAGCAGTGCATGCTGGGAAATTCCAACCTCATATCAGTACAAAGTGGTGCATACTAGGAAATCCCAGTCCCTGACCAGGATAAAGCAGTGCATGTTGGGAAATCCTACCCTCCGACCCAGAAAAAGCAATGTATGCTGGGAAATCACAACCTTTGACCAGAAAGTACCAGAAGGTATTTTAACAAAACTAGTTGAGCCATTTTGTGGTGTTTTCAGTGTTGATCAGTATTTTCTCAGTTATTAAAAACAGTACACACAGGCTGAGAAATAGTAGAAAGTAGTCAAATCAAACCCCACCATACACACGTGTGAGCACACACATGCATACACATCCACATTTTCCGGTCACTCAGCATCTTAACTAACTTCCTGGTTTACTATTCTTCTAGAGAGCCTTGCTTGGTTGGCAATTTGGTGGTGTGGCCATTACTATTGTTATGCCTACTAGCGTTTTACATTTAGAAGATGGTCAGCTAACACCATTAACTATTCAAATAGGATACAAGAGGTATAGAATGTTGGCGACACAAGTTAAAAAAATAGGTAAAATTAGAGGTGTGTGTGATAACTTTGAGGAATTTTTATATCAAATAGTTTTACGTTTGTGTACAAATTTATGTCACAGATATGCAGAACAACTATAGAGAGGAAGTCAGCAAGCGAAAGAAGAACTTCACTTTAAAACCCTCAGGGTTAGAGAGAAAGTAAAGTGGGTTAGATATTTTTGCATGCGACTAGCCCAGGATCAAGTCCTTCAGGAGTGAACTTTAGCACTGTTAGGTCACAACTCCCAGAAACCAAACCAGAAAACCCCAATAACGACCAGTTTATAACCCAAAGGCAAAGTCACAGCTGAAAAATTATATTTCTTCCTCTAAAGTTTAAGTTTTCAAAACTTTTTGGTTCATAAAGCTCTTTATGTAACAGACAGAAGTATTTACCCCTCCTTGGGAAAGTACACTCAAATACACTGTCTTGCAAAAAATTTAAGAATCTCATTAAAACCCAGGTCTACTCTTTTTGTATCTACAGGTATGATGTTAAGATTGAGATAAGCCTTCCAAAGGAATGTCTATAACATAAAAGTAAACATACTGAAGTAGGTACAGACTTAATGATATATAGGGAGCAAAGTTTAAATAATTCAGTGTGTATATTGAGCATTAGACTGGGAGAGGAAAAAAGATGAAACAGTTGATTATAAGTTGATTGTTTTTGGCCTAGGATTTTGAAACTTTACTTGCTTTAATTTTTAAAGCTCTAACAATATTCTTATTCCTTTTTCAGATACTCTTTTAACTTACTGGAATAAAGTATCACCTCAAGAACTCATAAATGTTCTTATACTTTTAGAGTAAGTTACATTAAATTGTTTTCATAAACTTTTACCTTATTTGAGGCATGCTTGATATTTATGCATAATAAGATCTTACATATTTTTGTTTAAACAGTTTATAATATCATAAACTATTATAATTAGCATTATTCTCATGCTAATAATAATGCACAACAATGCTATTTTCATGTGCAGAGACTGGCATAAGGTTCTTCACTTGTAGAATAAAGTCATGAATATATGGGATTCTTGTACTAGTACTGTAAATTTTCACTAAAACTTGTAGAATAAAATCATGAATATATGGGATTCTTGTACTAGTACTGTAAATTTTCACTAAAAATAGACCAACAACAGTATTTCTGTGATTGGAAGAGCTAGAAGTGGCATCAGCTGTCCCAAATCATTCATTTGGAGCAGATGCTAGCTTAATGGGATAGATGAAATGATTGGTGTTTGTCCTCTTTGTAGAGCTAAGTAATTCTATCTTTTTCAGAAAGTATGTGCTTATATATGGATACAGATATATCCATTCTAAGACACATAGGGAATAAACTAGTCTAGATGAAGGTGGAAGTTATTCTATATTGTATTCTGCATTACTCTTGCATCATTATTGAAAGGTGAATGGTTATCTAGAATTGAGCATTAAAAAATTTAAGTAGGGAGACAGAGAACATATCTCAACAGGTTGGAACCCAGGCATGCAGGAGGCCTGAATTTGATCCCTAGCATGCCATAGTCAACCACAAATAGCTCCTGAGTGCCACTGTATATGTCCCCTGAACAAAAACAAAAAAGTGTTTTTGGGGGAGAGTAAAAATTTATGATAATTTGTATATGTACCAAAACAAAATGGAGTATCAGTGCATAAATATATTTTCTTGGTCTCTTTAAAATTTGTCAGCAAACAAAACATCAGTTAGAATGAAAAAAAACTGCTTGTTATATTGAGATATTTAGTAACAAAAATGATATGTTGGGGATTTGCTTCAAAAACTAGAAGGGAGGGTGAGAGGGGAGAGCAAGGCAGCTGTGTAGGCAGAGTTGAACAAGAATAGGATGGCCATGAATTGATCATTGTTGTAGCTTGTGGGAGTTTTACATGCTAGCCTCACTACTTCCGCATATGTTTAAGATTTTTCAATTGGTAGCTTTTTAATGCCATTATGAAAAATACGGCATCTGCTTCATTTTCAACGAGTAAGGACTTTTAAAAAAGGTTTTAATGAGTATACTTATAGAATTTTCTATAGTGCTCATAGCTTTATAGTGTTCAAAGGGTGATTTGCATTGATGGGGTTTTTAAAATATGTCACTAGCATTATATATGAAGACATGAAGATTTCTCATGCTGAGTTGTCTCATGTAGAAAAATATTTCTACACACTTAATATTATTGTTTAGATAGCATATAATTTGTAATTCATGGCTTTTCAAATTAGTACTTGTTAAATTGCATATAATGGTAATATGTTGTTAACATGCTATTATTTTTCTTTCTAGAGTGTGTTTGTTTCACTTTAGATATATGGGGAAAAGAAACATAGCAAGGTAATTCCCTAACTTTGCCATTTTTCCTTTTCTTCCAACAGAGGGCAGTCTAAATCTTCCTATGTAGAACATAGGAAGATTTGTGTTGCCAATAAGAAAACCTTGATTTATTAAACATATCTTGGCATTTAAATCACAGTGAACAGATTAAAGTTTTCCAAAGGATGATGAGACTGGTGTGCATATTTTATGTACAAATCCTAAAACAGATGCTTGTCTTTTCTGAAAGATGTGAGAAAGAGTAGATCCAGGAGAAGGCAGAAATTATAAATGGAAAATAACTAAGGTCTGTGCTTTCAGACAATCTGTTAGTATATTGATCCCGTTGACAGACATGTGCCTCCATTACGAAGGTATATAGAAATTCCTAGAAGCAGGTAGGCACCTACATTGTATATCAGCTATTCTTTTTGCTTTTTAAGTCTCTGTGAAATGAGTACCTTAGGAAATGTTTGAGGAGGGTTTGGGATTGTGTCTCAAGTGATAGAGCACACACTTTAGATATGTGTGATCTTGGTTTGATCCCCAATACATAGCTACTGAGCACCACAGACTGTTTTTCCCTCATAACAACAGATTAAAAAATAGAAAAAGAAAAGATTACTTATTATATATATTTTATGGTCTTTAATATGGTTATAATAGTGCTAACAGAATATACCTTCACCAACACCAAAATGCCCAAGACCCTTTACTATTGTCCTTATGTAACGTCTACTTTATGTCTTCCTTATTTTAATAAAATAGACAATTATGTGAATTTCAGTAGTTACTTTGTTTTGTTTTGGGCCCACACCTGGCTGTGCCTAGAGATATTTTCTGGTGATGCTCAGGGAACCTTATGCTATGTATTGAACTCAGGTCTGCTGCAAGCACCTTATCTCCTGTACTATATATCTCTGGCCTCAATTTCTTTTTTTAATTACATTCTAAGGCACAAGAGGTTGTTTTGATGGGTTTATTATCGAGTCTCTGGAATATCATCATCATAATAATAGATAATTCAGGTGGTGATTTTCATTGTCTTTCCATGACTTGGAGCTAGTATGGTAACTACTACCTTGAGCCTTTGTTCCTGGGTTTTTCCTGTCCTCTTTTTACCAGACGGGCAGGAAAATAGTTTTTCTTCCCTAGTTCTTTATACTTCTTAGTTAAAAAATTTTAAGTGATCCTTAAACTGATTGGAAAGCCAAGAAAAAATATGAAAATCCTAACAGACCTGTTTGAAGTAGAAATTTCTGACCCAGGTTTAATTTATGTCTATAAATGAATGAGATTTGCATTCATTCTTAAATACCTAACTTCAGGACGCTCCTCTTATACTCATTTTCAGTTCAACTTGTAGTATCCCTCTGTGTTCTGATACCCTTCCTCAACTGCTGAGGGCACATTGGATGTTTTCAAGGAGGAAAAAAAGAATGTCTTTCTAAATTGCTTAGTTATATTCTTATAGTAGAATCTATTTTAAATGTACATGAAAATATCATACCATTTCCAGTGGTACCTCATTTAATACTAGAAACAATAAACTATTGATTGAGCATAGATTAGGTTCTAAAAATAGTAAGAACACTGATAGAGCTTATTAGAGTCCTCAAATTATTACATTTATTTTAGGGTGCATGATGCCTGGCTGTCAAAACACTTTGGTATTGACCGAAAATCACAAACCATGCCAGCTCTAAGGAACAGATCAGGAGTAATGCAGGCCCGGCTTCAGCATCTTAGTAGTCTGGAAAGTTCATTTACACTTAATCACAGTAAGTAAAGTGTGTGTAGGTTCCGTGTCATTTCAAACAGGCATGTAGTTCTTTTTATTTGTTTGTTTTTAGTTTTGGAGCCACACCTGGTGGTGCTTAGGGCTTACTCCTGACTTTTTGCTCAGATATCATTCCTGACAGACTTGGGGGATCATATGGGGTGCTGGGGATCAAATCCAGGTTGGCTGCATGCAAGGCAAACACTCTCCTTGCTATCACTCTGGCCCAGACATGTTATTCTTTAACTTTAAAGGAGCCCTGGTCCTTTCTTGCAATGGGTTTGATGCCAGAACACAGGTGTCATGAAAACAAGAGTCAAACTCAACCAAAATGGGAAAGGGAAAGACTCAGTACCGTTGTCATCATTGGATGCATAGATTCCAGCAAGACTACCACTACTGGCCTCCTGATCTGTAATTGTGGGATTGACAAAAGAACCACTGAGAAATGAGAGAAGGAGACTGCTGAGATAGGAAAGGACTTCTTCAAGTATGCCTGAGTCTTGGATTAACTGAAAGCTGAATGTGAGAGTGGTATCATTATTGATATCTTCCTGTGGAAGTCTGAGACCATCAGGTACTATGTGACCATCAGTGATGCTTTAAGACATAGAGACATCATCACGGTCATGGTCTTCCCGTTATTCATCGATTTGCTCGAGCGGGCCCAGTAATATCTCCATCGTGAGACTTGTTATTACTGTGTTTGGCATAGCGAATACGTCACGGGTAGCTTGCCAGGCTTTGCCGTGCGTGCGAGATACTCTCGGTAGCTTGCCGGGCTCTCCGAGAGTGGCGGAGGAATCGAACTCGGGTAGGCCATGTTGGCTGCGTGCAAGGCAAACGCCCTACATGCTGTGCTATTGCTCCAGCCCTAGAGACATCATAATATAATAATAACTTTAGCACTGTAGCACTGTCATCCCGTTGTTCATCGATTTGCTCGAGCAGGCACCAGTCTCACCATTGTGAGACTTGTTGCTATTGTTTTTGGCATATGGAATACGTCACGGGTAGCTTGCCAGGCTTTGCTATGTGGGCTGGATACTCTTGGTAGCTTGCCGAGCTCCCAAAGAGGCGTGAAGGAATTGAACCCGGGTTGTCCCAGGTTGGCCACGTGCAAAGCAAATGTCCTACCCACTGTGCTATCGCTCTAGCCCATAATAACAATAATTTGATAATAATATTCTGATAATAAAATTACTTGATAATACCATGTGATTTTATGATTATATTATAATTATATTGCACACTATAATAAATATTAACATTGTTATTAATGTTATATTAATATTATTATTAATTTGGTTTGGGGGCCACACCTGGCAATCGATGCCCAGGGATGCATCTAGCTCTGCACTCTGAAATCACTCCTGGTGGTGCTCAGGGATGCTAGTGATCGAACCAGTTTGGCTGCTTGCAAGGCAAGTGCCTTACCTTCTGTTCTGTCTCTCTGGCCCTGTCCAAATGATTATTACAGACACATCTCAGGCTAACTACCCTGACCTGATTGTTGTTGTTCGCATGGGTGAATTTGAAGCCCAGTATCTCTAAGAATGGACAGACCTGAAAGGAAGGCACTTCTGGCTTATGTACTGGGAGTAAAACAACTACTTATTGGTGTTAATGAAATGGATTCCATTGAGCCACCTTACAGCCAGAAGAGATATGAGAAAGTTATTAAGGAAGTCAGCACCTACATTAAGGAAACTGTCTATAATCCTGATACAATAGCATTTGTGCTAATTTCTAGTGGGAATAGCAACAATATGCTGGAGCCAAATGCTAACAGGCCATGGTTCAAGAGATGGAAAGTCAGCCGAAAAGATGGGAGTGCCAGTGCACCCATGCTGCTGGAAACTCTGAATTGCCCAACTGCATCTGCACCTGCGTCTCCAAGATGCTCACAGAGTTGCAAGTCTTGGCACTATATCTGGCGGCCAAGTTGAGACTGATATTTGCAAAACCTACCATGGTGGTCACATTTGCTCCAGTCAAAGTTGCAATTGAGCTCTTTTGGGGCACAACATGGACTTCAGTGGCAAGAATGTATAAGTCAAAGATGTTTGCATTGCAGTTGAACTGGTGAGAGCAAAAATGCCCACCATAATGGAAAAAGCTGGCGTCACAGGTCAGGTGATTATTTGACTTTTCTGAATCATCCAGGTCAGATCAGTGCCGGATGTGCACCTTTGTGGACTGTCACACTGTTCACAATGCTTGCAAATTCACCGAGCTGAAGAAGAGTACTTGTTGTTCTAGGAAAAAGCTGGAAGATGGCCCCACATTCTTGAAATTGGGGGATGCTCTCATTGTTGATAAGGTTCCCGCCAAGCCCATGTGTGTCAAGAGCTTCTCTGTCTACCTTCCTGTGGGTCATTTTGCTTATCATGGTATGAGGACTATTGCTGTGAGTGGCATCAAAGCAGTGGACAAGAAGGCAGCTGGAGCTGGCAAGGTTACTACATCTTCACAGAAGGCTAAATAAGTACCTGCCAGCCCAGACTTAGTAGAATGGTCTCATAACTGTTCTTCTTGACCATCTAAATATATAGTGAAAGACTGACTAATGATAATAACAACAATTCAGTGTAATATATTCAGAAGAAGAAAATGTTTTGTGGACCATGTGTAGTGTTAGTATGGCAGTTTTAAGTTATCAGTTTTTTAAATCATTACTTTTTTAATGAAAACCAATTAACCAAAAATCTGTGACAGAATTTGAGACCCGTTCAAGTTTAATGAGAAAAAGTAAGCGAAATGACTCAGAAAGAAAGGGATATACATAGAAAGATTGCATTCATCTGGGGAACATAAAGTAACAAAATAGGAGACTAACACCCAAGAATGGTGGAGATTAGTACCAGGAATTTTACTCCATGACTTGGAGGCCAGTCACACATGTTAGAGGAAAAGGGAGCTCAGATAGAGAAGGGAGCACCAAATAAAGGGTGTTGGGAGGATCCTCCCAGGATGGGAGAAGCATGCTGAAAGTAGACTATAGACCAAACATGATTGTCACTCATTGCCTCTTTTTCAATCCACAACACCCAAAAGGAGAGAGAGAACAGAGGGGAATGCCCTGCCACAGAGGCGGGGTGAGATGGGGGGATGGGGGGTGGGAGGGATACTGGGATCTGTGGTGGTGGGAAATGGGCACTGGTGGAGGGATGGGTATTTGATCATTGTATAATTGAAACACAAGCACAAAAAATATGTAAGTCTACATCTGTACCTCATGGTGTCTCACTAATAGAAATTAAAAAAAAAAGTAAAAAGCCCTGGCTTCAGTCTAAAATATTTCACAGACACAAAGGTATTTCCTTTAATATATTTAATCACATATGAATATAGTTTACATGATTTTTTAAATGTAATGTCATTTTTTCCTTATTTCAGTATTAAGGGAATTCATTTTTCCCTACTAAACACTATTCTCATTGTACTATTTTTCTTTGGATAACGTTCTTTAACTTTAGGGCAAATAACGTCATCTTAAGACAATATTTGTTTAGAGTTACTATGCAGTGATTTTAAAGAGTTACACTGTAAGTTAAAGAAGTTGTAAATACTACTTTGGCACAGGCTGGAGCGATAACACAGCGGTAAGGTGTTTGCCTTGCGTGCAGCCAGCCCAGCTGAGCCGGGTTTGATTCCTCTGCCCCTCTCGGAGAGCCCGGCAAGCTACCGAGAGTATCTCACCCACGCGGCAAAGCCTGGCAAGCTACCCGTGATGTATTCAATATGCCCAACACAGTAACAACAAGTCTCAAAATGGAGATGTTACTGGGCCTGCTCGAGCAAATTGATGAACAATAGGAGGACAGTGTTTGTGTTTGTTTGATATTTCACACTGGTTTAAGTACTGACGTGTTGAATAGGATGTGGTGAGACATCTTGCCCATTTGGGGGAGCTGAAGAGTTATATAAATAGAATCTGTCCTCTGAAAAGCAAATAATACAAACTGAGAAGATGTTCATTTCCATACAGTTGGATGCAGAAAAGGAAACCAGCAAAACTGGCCTTGTGCTATAGGACTTAAAATGCCTGGAGTATATGGGCACTGAGTCAATAAATTTAAGCTTTCTTTTTTAAAAATATAAGCGTCATATAGATGCTTTGCTTTTTGTCACTTGTAAAAACTATAATAAACCTACTTGCTTCAGTTATCCCAGATGCTTTGTTTTTTTTTCTGCTCTAGAAACAAGTCTCCTACCCTTGGCATCACATCATTGAAAAAATATCAGGCAGAAGGGTATTACTATGTGTAATGTAGCTGAGTTTCTGCATGTTTCTCATCTTCATACAAATAATCAGTGTCATATCCTAAAATACTTCCCAAATTATTTCCTGGTTTTATCATCACCAAAATCTTGTCTACAAAGAAATTCACTCATTGTTATATGATGAGAAAATGTGGACATAGAGTTGGAGAACATATTAGGAGAATTAATTAACCAAGGTAAAGGCCCTCCCATTGATCGTCGATTTGCTCGAGCGGGCCCAGTAACGTCTCCATTGGAGACTTTGTTGTTACTGTGTCTGGCATATCGAATACTCTCGGTAGCTTGCCGGGCTCTCCGAGAGGGGCGGAGGAATCGAACTCGGGTCGGCCATGTTGGGCGCTTGTAAGGCTAACGCCCTACCTGCTGTGCTATCGCTCCAGCCCCAAGGTCATCTTGGAGAATAAATGCAGTGAAATTCATTTAGGCTTGCAGGTATTAAGATCTCCCCTTTTTGGGGGAGTGCTTTTTGCCACACACAGTGATGCTTAGAGCTCACACCTGACTGCATTCAAGGATTACTTCTGGTGATGTTCCAGGTGACCTTCTGCTTGGTTACAGGCAGGTTTGGTGCCTTACCTGCAGTATTAGCTCTCTCCAGCCCAAGGGCCTGTTTCTTACTTGTCTGAGTCTTGGTTTAGGGTACAGGAAGGATCCATCAAATCTGTTATGTGTATCTCTGTTGCATAGTGTTCATTTCCTTTTTTAATTCTAGGTTCTGCAACAACAGAAGCCGACATTTTTCATCAGGCACTTCTTGAAGGCAATACCGCTACTGAAGTTTCTTTAACAGTACTGGACACCATATCATTTTTCACCCAGTGCTTCAAGGTAAAAAGGGAGAATATGTTTTATCAAAATTAGAGGAATCAGTGCGTTAGTACAGTGGGTAGGGCATTTGCCTTGCATGTGGCTGATATGGGTTTGATCCCCCATATACCGCCAGGAGTAATTCCTGAGTGCAGAGTCAGGAATAAGCTCTGAACATCTCAGGGTGTTGCTCAAATTCAAACAATCAAAAAGCCAAATTAACTAGTCATTGGTTCTATAATAGTATAATGGGAAAACAAAAACCAATTGTACAATGAAAAATCTTGGATGGCAGACCTAGTTTGATGACTGCATGACCTAGAATTGTCCATGATGCACTTGCACATCCAAACAATGAGAGGAATAGACTAATTTGCCTTTCAGTACCCTTCTTGATTCTTAAACCTTATTGTTTCATGTTTAATTTTTTTTCTTTCTCTCTTTGTTTTTGGGCTACACCTAGTGATGCTCAGGGCTTACTCCTTACTCTGTGTTCAGTGATCACTCCAAGTAGTACTGGAGCAAACCATAGGTGCTACCAGGTATCAAACCCAAGTCAGCCGAATGCAAGGCAAAGCACCTTACCTACCGTGTTATTTCTCTCACTACCAAAAAACGTTTCCTTTCATATTTTCATTGAAATGTCCAGTGATTGTTTTGGTTTTGTTTTGGGGTCATGTGTAGAGATGCCTCAGGGGTTACTACTGTCAGAGAAGGGGCTGTGCAGTTCCAGGGATCAAACCTGGGGTTCCTATAGCAAAGCATGTACTCCAGTCCTTGAGCCACCTCTCTGGCCATTATCCAAGCATTTTTTACCTCAATTGTGGTCAACTTAGTTTGCCAAAATAACCTTTGTGCTCAGAGATATTGTGTCAAACTAGATGTGCCCAAATAAACAAGCTGGCTTCTTTAGTCAGGCACTTTGTGTTTTTCTCAAATGCTTGCCTCTTAGTACAGGTCACCAGTGAGGTAATTAAATGGAAAAAGGAGACAGAAACTAAAAGCAATTATCTTGCAAGGTTGTTGAAGGAAAAAAATCTGTGTGTGGGGGGGATAATGGAAATCAGAGTGCTTTGGAAAGCAAACATTATATAACCACAGAGTAAGGTGACATTAGAAGAAAAACTCAAATATGAAAAATTTTGCTTTAATTTGACTTCAGGTCATTTTAAATGAAAAAACTCTTACTTCAAGCTCTCCAGATTTTACTATGGAAACCTGGCCTGTGCTTTTCAAAGAGGAAAAACCCAATTATATACTAATAAGTAATAGAGTGCAGAAACACTTCATGACATATTAACTTTGTTCTGATTAAAATGGAACAGAAATTCATTTTCCCCCAGTACCAATAAATCAGAAGGACATTTGGTCCCAGGCTTGTGTTGTACTCTGTCCTCTTATTCAGATATTTATTTAACAAGAATATCTCTTAGTACATGCCAGGCATCATCCTAAGTGCTTTACAAATATTAACTTGTTTATTCTGGGACTGGTAACAGGAACAAGGAGTGATTGCAGATGGGCATCAGAGATGTTTTTGAGGTGATGGAAAAACTCTGAAATTGAATTTAAAATTGAATTTTGATGGCTGCATAACTTTGTCAATTTTCTAAAATTAATTGAATCATCTGCTTAAAATCAGAAAATTTGATGGCATAAAAATTACACCTCAACAAACTTAAAAATACAAATATGAATTCTTTTCATCTACCAAGTAGCTCTATACATATCATTTAAATATATTTAACACCAATATATTAATAATTACAGTATATGAATATATTTATGATTAATGTATTGATTATTACAATATATTAATGTATTTAATATATCATTTTGTTCTATCAATAGCTACTACTATTATTGTCTTTGTAGAATGAGGAAATTGAAGCTCCCAGGGAAGTTAATGCCACATGACTGGTCAGTGGTAGAATCTGGACTCAGATCTAGACCAGCTTTCTCAAGAGTTCTTCCTTCTAACCATTATATCATAGTTGAAGGTAGATGAAGGAAAAAGTCTGTTTGGGGATTCTGTCTGGTGATGTTAGCATTAGATCTGTTGTCACAATTTTGTATATTACTTTGTCTTTGTTGTAGTTTGGAATAAGTTGTAACCTGTTTGTTAGTTTCTTGAGGGAGAGGCAAGTAGGGCTGTAGAAGGCATCCCTTCACTTTTTAAAAGTCACCCCCAGTGTTGCTCACTGATTCCTCTGCCCTAGGCTTGGTACTTGGGAATCCATGTGGTTGCCAAGGATCAATCCTTGGTCTCCTGCATGCAGAGCACATGCTTTAGCCTGTTGAACTCTTTTCCTGGCCCCCAAATTTTAAGAAGGTGCTTATAAACCAGTACATATTTATCTGTAACTTGTTCTTTCTTTTATGTCTGTTTGCAAGGAAAACAATATATATAGGCTGTTGAATTGTGATATCTGTTATTTTCTCTGCTCATAGCAGACTTTATGTGCCACGGTAGATAACAATAAGATGTAAATTAAATAATACAATTTAAAAATAAATGTTGTCCTGAATTGCTCCTAAAGAGAAACACAAATGCTGGTTGCCTTGTATCCATTCTGAATTTACTGATATCTTAATTGACAGACAGTATGACTAGATTAATAAAAAGTCCTTTTACATACTAGGTGTCTGTTGTGTTCCAGTGGAAAGTAATTTTATCTGTTTCAAATGATGAGACTTTAGTATAGCTGTAGTTTCTGTGTTGTTTTGAGATTTCCTAGTAGAAAGATGGCCCAAATGTTTTGAAAGTATGTAAAAGATACTTCTCTCCCCGATGCTTTCAAGCAGAGGTTTGCTAAGCAAGAATTAGTAAAGTTTGTTCTCAAAATCTGGGCAAGATATGCCAGCTATGCCTACAAACTTTCTCTTTTTCATGTTTTATAGAGCCAGCTTTTAAATAATGATGGCCACAACCCACTGATGAAAAAAGTTTTTGATATTCATCTTGCTTTCCTTAAAAATGGCCAATCTGAAGTGTCACTGAAGCATGTATTTGCCTCCCTGCGAGCTTTCATTAGTAAGGTAAGGAGAAGAACTTTGCACTGCTTGTGGATAGAAATGACATCTGAAAGTGTCAGCTATTGAAATCATTCAGCACTGCCTTCATAAATAGAAATGAACAACAGAATACACACCGAGGGCTTAACCAAAAATTGCCTAAAATCAGAACATGCATTTTTGTTTCGGTTTGATTTGGGGAACACACTTGATGGTATTCAATGGCTGCTCTGTTTGGGTGCTTGGGGGTTACTTTTGGCAGTTGACTTAGAAGTGGTCCAAGGGCCTCCTGCATGCAAAACAGATTCTCAGCTTATTGTGTCATTTCCCCACCACCAAAACATGCCTTTCAAGTGGGCGTGACTATGGTTCACAACTGATATGAATAGGGTTTTATATACACTCCTCATCGCACCCTCTACCCAGGTCTTTGCTTCCTTCCACCATTGTCCCAGTGTCCGTCACTCACTTTCTTCCTCCCTGTGATAAGCTTCCCACTGACAAGTTCTCAGTTTTTGTTGCTTTGGGTATTTGTTGTTTCCCTATTCTGTTTCTTCATGTCCCACATTTAAGAGAGATGAGTATGGGGGGCTAGACCATAACTGGGTAGGGCTCTTGCTTGCACATAGCTGACACAGATTCGAGCCCAGGTACTCCATATGGTCTCCTGAGCTGAGCAGGAATGCTCCCTGAACACAGAGCCAAGAGGAAGCCCTGAGCACCACTGGGTGTGCCCCCAAAACAAAGCAAGAAAAGGGGTAATTCTATGTCTTTCCCTCTCCTTCTAACTTCACTTAGTTTGATAATTTCCAGTCCGTCCATGTGGGAGAAAATTTTATGATTTCATTTTTTCTTATAGCTGAGTGTAATATACACATTATGTATTTGTACAACCATTTTTTATCCACTCATCTCATCTTGGACATTCGGGTTATTTCCAGATTTGGGCTATTGTAAATAGTGCTGTGATCAACCTAGGAATCCAGGTACCTTTTCTAAATTGAGCTTTTGGACCTTTGGTGTAGATGCCCAGAAATGAAATTGCTGAGTCATGTGGAAGCTCAAGACCTAACTTTGTAGAAATTTTATTTTTATAAAGTTGTTCACAATAATTGATTACATTCAATATTTCAACACCAATCCCACCACCATTATTTCTAGGTGTTCCACCACCACTCAAGCCTGCCCCACAGGCAGATGCCAGATAATTTATTTTGTATTGCTTGTTATGAATAGTATAAGATGTCCGTAAGGGCCTCTCTCACAGGATTCAAACACAAAGTAAAAAAAAAGAATAGTATGAGATATTGCACAGCTGCATTTGCTGCAGCGCATTCCTGGGATTCTAAAAATTAAAATAATTGGGGTCCAGAGCCATCTCTGCAACAAGCTGCTCAGTTCTGAAATTCATTTGAGAGTCTCTGGATCATGGCCCTTAATGGGCTTAAATGGCACCCAGAGGCAGTTCCTGCACGTGACAGCCAGGGCCCTGGAGGGGTGGGGAGAGGACGGCCCAGTCCTGACCCCTTGATGCCTGGTGTTTTCAGTCAATCATCCCGCATGCCTGGGTTTTTCAGCAGATTTATTCTCTTGTGTGGGGTACCCAGGACAGGCCTATGAAGATTGGCTGTGAGGGTGGCGGCTATTGGTTTCTAGAGATTTGGGGCTGCCGGGGTTCATCTGATGCAGGCAGAGAGAGAGGACACCTGCTCCCATCTGAGGTGCCCTGGCGAAATTATGCTGGCGCATGTTCTGGAGCCATACCTGCAGCGAGCTGCTCAGTTTCAAGATTCATTTGTGAGTCTCCCAATCCCTAATTTTTGAGGTTTCCATATTGTTTTGGAAAACGTTTGAACTATGTTCTTACTAGCAGTGAATGAGTGTCCCATTTTCCCCACATCCACGCCAGCATTGATTTGTTTTGTTCTTTATGATGTGTGCCAGTCTCACTGGTGTGAGATGATACCTAATTGTTCTTTTGATTTGCATCTCCCTGATAATCAGTGATGCAGAGATTTTTTTCATGTATCTTTTAGCCATCTCTGTGTCTTCTTTGAGCAGGTTTCTATTCATCTCTTCCCCCCATTTTTGGTGATTTTTTTGTTTTGTTTGTTTTTGGTAGATTTTCACTAACGCTTTATATATCTTGGATAGCAACCCTTTATCTTATATTGGTGAGTAAATATCCTCTCCCTGTCTTTTTATTTTGCCTGTTGTTTAATTTGTGGTGCATAAGCTTCTTAGTTTGATGTAGCCCCATTTGTTTACCTTTTTTTCTTTTCAGTTTGCTTGGCCAATGGTTTTGATTCATTGCAGATGCCTCAAAACATGCTTTTTATTGCACCTTGTCATACTTCCATTTTTTCAAAAGATTCATGTGAAGAATGTCTTTTGCAAATGATCTGTCTGACCAAATTTTGTTTTTCTATAAGAGATGTAAAATCTCTTAAGTGCTTTCATGAATAGGCACTTTGAAAACAGAGGCCAAGTTTTTGTCACCCCAAGGTGATATTTGATATTTGGCTAACGAGGCACTCAGTCCACTTTCAAAAAATCCTTCCTTTAACTGCCCAATGTGTTTTGGTACCCTACATTTTCAGGCCACTTACCTTATGTAAAAAATTCAACCTAGACTTTAGAAATAAATGAAAAGAGCAATGATTTATTTATTTTATTTTTATTTTGAAAGGGTATTTTCTATGTGGTGCCCAGGAAGCTGGCAGCCCCTCCTGGTGATTCTTAGCTATCCAGACCAGCTGTTTAATGCAAGGCCCTGAGTAGTTGATACTGCTTTGGCTCTGTCGTGATGGAGGTTATCCAGGTCAACCTGGCAGAACCTGGGGATCTCAACCAGGCCCTGTTGTGCTGGGCAACTCTAGTGCTCTAGCAGGGATGCTCAGGGCACCTTGTGGTGCTGGGAATTAAACCATGGTCATTCACATGCAGGACATGCATCCTAATGCGTGAATTGGCTCCCCAGCCATGAGTTATTTTTGCTTTGATTTTGGTAGCTTTTAAACTTATTTAATAGCATAAACCAAGATGGATTTAAATTATGGAAAATTATGGAAAGGCACAGGCTGAGTGTGTGACTAAGTGTGTGACTCAGCACTAAGACAAATACAATCAATTGATTTCGGTAATAGCTAACTAAGCATAGAAAACTTTTCTGTTGTTCTCTCTCTCACACACACATATATACACACATATACATACATCATATATATGCATAGATATATAGATATATTGGATTTAATGAGAAATTAGGTGAGTTTGAAATTTAGGTTTACCTGCCCCTCCCCACATTCTTTTGTTTTTGGTTTGGGGGGGTCACACTCAGTTGGTGTTCAGGAGCTATTCCTGTTTCTGTGCCTATAAGAGACCCCTGGCCATACTTGCAGGGTGTATAAGGTGCTAGGGACCCAAAGGGCATTATTGGCTAAACTGTGAGACTTGTACTTTACCTGTACTATCTCTTCAACCCCTTCCCCATTATGTTTTTTCTTCTTTGGGTTTTGGGCCACACCAGCCAAGGGCTTAATCCTAGCTCTGGATCACTCCTGGCAGGGTTTGAGGACCCTATGTGTATAGTGCTGGGGATTGAACCAGGATTGGCCACATGCAAGGTGAGCACCCTGCCTATTACACTGCATCTCTTTCTCCCTTCCCCAATTTTATGCAGTTTGTTGATAAAGAGGTATATTTTTTATTTAATTTTTAGTTAGGCACCATAATTTGCAAAGTTGACTATAGAGTTTCAGGCATGCAGTGTTCCGATTTGAATTCTACCACCAGTGTCCACAATCCTCTAACAAAATGACCCCAGATTTGTTTCAACGCAGTGGTAATCTCAAATATAGTAAAACTATACAGTGTTAGCTTTAAAAATTTTTGAGAGAAAACCATGGAAATGATCCAGAGGTAGCTCTTATCTCTTTGGAAAAGATCTCTGACCAACCTCCTTCTTTAAAGGTCACTAAACCTAAATTCTAGAACAATCCTTTTAACATGCTTCCACAAAATAAAATCCTATATATTAAAACAGAAGTATTTGGAAAACTGAGTTCAGTATGAGCAATTTCAAGACACAGGAAGAGAGACAGAAATCATTTAACAGTTACTGTTTGTGAAGCACTTACTGGTTTCCTGTACACTGTTTCCCTGAGAAAACACTAGAGGGCACTGTGCACACACTTACACCACTTACACACTTATACACACACACACACACACACACACACACACACACACACGGAACCAGACAAAGAGACGGAAGTTAAACAATAAATAGCAGTGAAGCCAGGATTTAGTGTGGACTCAGCAAGAGATAAGACTAAAGAATTAAATAAGGACCAGATGATTTAGTACTCAGGAGTAAGAATTCAACTTTTAGGCATCCAGAAACATAGAAGTCAAGCAATTATATAGTTTTAAATGTAATTGGCGGGGGGGGGGGGGGTAGGGCTCTCCCAAGGCACCCCTAGGCGGGTGCTCACAGGGCCTAGGGGCCACTACTCTGGTCCTGAGATCATGAGCCACCCTTGCAATGCTCACGGCTATGCCCAGGCAATACTCAAGCACATGAAGATATATTTCCCTGACCCCCAAATGATCTCCACAGCCTCACAATTAGTTTTTTTTAAACAAGTGTGAATGGTAGTGTAGAACGTGGATTGGTGATTACATTAAAGGCAATAAGAAGATTTGTTATAATAGGCTAGATAAATGATCAGGGCCTGATATAAAGTAGTGACCATGGAGATGAGGAGACAAAGCCAGGTATGAGGGGCTGCAGCAATAGTACAGAGGTTTTGGTACCTGCTTGCACACACAGAATCCTAGTTCACCCCCATAACTACCCACAGGAACTGTTAGGAATGATTCCTGAGCACAGAGCCAGGACTGATCCCTGAGAACTGCCAGGTGTGGCCCCAACCGATCCTCTCCCCCCACCTCTGCAAATATGAGACATGCTAAAACAGTAATACAGTAATACAGTAAGACTGTGTATAAGGTAAAAGTCAAAGAGTTCTGTTTTGTGGATCTGTTGACATTATGGTGCCTAAAGCACTTCCAGTTTAGAGCCATTAAGGGCAGCTGGATATAGAGATCTTTGTTATGAAAAGAGAACAAGGTTAGAGACTGAAACGTGCAGTTACCTATCCATGATGCATTTATTAAATCCCATCTCTCAGAATGCTTCTCTCTCAGCACTTTGCTATATACAAAAGGAAGAGTAAGCCTAATCTCTTGGCTGTATAGAAGAAGAATGGAAATTAGCAAGTGGGTTAAATAATCAGTAACTCCACTAGGTTCTAGGAAGGAACTAAAGTGAAAAGATGGAGAATAAAGGTTTAAGGGAGATGGTCTTTCTCCAGGTTGGTTTTCTACTTTCACAGTGAGGCCCGGAATGTTTGAAAAGTATCCAGCTGTTTGAAAAGCTCAAGAGAAAATACTCTAGGGAGAAGGGCACACACAGACCAAGACCCTGAGCTGGGAAAGAGCTTGAAATTCTGGGAACAGAAAGTCCCATTTTAGCAGGAACATGGTGAAGTGGAGAGACCATCAGTGTGTAAGTGGTAATAGAGGGGATGGGAGTGATTTAATTTCCACTGAAGAGAACGTAGAACAAAATGATATGGAGAGCATGGGAGTACGGAGAATATGGAGAACAAAGGGAAGGGTATGAACACAACACTGGAGAAAAATACCAGAGCAGAAAGAGGAATCTATAGAGAGGAAGCAGTCATGCAAGTAGAAAGAAAGGAAACAAATAAAAATACCATGGAAACCAGACTAGAAGAATGTCCAGATTTTTCAAATGTATACAGAGCAGTTTAATAGAATATCAGGGAAAGTCTATTGAAATCGGCAGTTGAGCGTTCATTGGGACTGAAGCAGTAGTACAGAGAATAGGGCACTTCCTTGCAAGCAGGCTGACAAGGTTATGTTTCTGGCACCACATGTGGTCCAGTGAGCCCCTCTAGGAGTTGTCCCTGAGTACAGCTGGGTGAGGCTCAAAAAAATAATGAAGAGATTATTGATGATTTTAGTTATTGTTGGCTCATAGTAGTGACATAAGTAGACTTGGAATCAGTTAAACTTAGAATGAGCTAGATTTCAGCAGTACTGTCCCTTAAACCTTTGTTTTTCGTACTAGAGCGTTTTGCCTAGAAAGAGTTGGTTTATTCAGTGCAACTGTTAGTAAGACTTCGCAGTGGTGATGAGAGAACATTTATTGGATATTCATTATCTGCATTTTTATCACTTGGTATTAACTTGATAAAGAAGATAGATTCCTATGACCTGGGTTGAAATTCAAGGTTCCCAAGGAAAAATTTGTATTTTTCGGTGAAGCAGGATAGTTGCTTCACTTTTTAGTTGCATATTTTATTTTTAATTTTTGTTTTATAATACTATGAATAATGGTTTCTCATGGGCACAAGAAATAATTTTGAAAACTTTATATGACCTGAAAACTTCATATTCCCTGAAAAGCATCCATTATTGTGTATCCTGAAGCAGATTACTACTTGCGGGGAAATATAGGTTATAGCAGTTTTATATTAAATGTGTAGTTTATCTTCTACAAAGTAGATTGAGTGCATTCTCAAAATAAAAGCCACCTGGCTGTTTTTAATGTTAGTCACTTTGGTTATACTTTTTCTATGCCATTATGTATTTTAATCAATGCTGTTTATGAGTAGAAGATGCACGTATTCACACTTCGTCTATTTCCTGTTTTATTGAATGAACAACTGGCAGAGTAGATTCCCACTACAATATTCTTGGTATCTGGATATTCATAATAAGAGTAAATAATGCTTTAAATAAAAATCAGAGATGAGGCCAGGGAGATAGTGTAGGAGGTAAGACACTTGCCTTACATGCATTCAGCCCAGTTTCTATATCTGGCACCACATAATTGTTCCCCAAACACAGAGCTAAGAGTGAGCCCTGACCTCAAAAGGTCAAAAAGTATTCTCTTTTCAGCAGATTATTTTTCCCATTTTAAAACCCAAATTAACCTCATCAGTCATTTTCTTTATTTTTGTGTGGGGCCTCTAAAGCAGTCTTCAGAAGTGTTCCACTTACCACCTTTTGCCTGGGTCCCCACTGGCAATTCTCAGCCCACTAGCAATTCAGTGCAAAGAACCTAAGGATTCCATTCTGCTAAAGCCTTGCTATGCCAGGAGTTACCCAGGCCATCCCAGTTGTGCTATTTGGTGGCAGTGGTAGAGTGAGTTGTTCCAGGCTGCACTTGACAATATTCAGGAAACCATGTGCCAGGGATCGAACCCATGTTGAGTATCACCACTGTATTATCTCAGAGTATACCATTCATTTTATAATATCTCATTTTTTCAGATCATCTTTCCACTTACCACCTTTTCCTGATTGTCTTCATCTCATGATCTGTACCATTCATAGTTAGTATCTTTACATTTTGGGAGTTGGTTGGGACCTCAGGGGCTGTTCTCAACAATTCTGATACTTGAAAAGTTTAATGATCAGGCATTTGTGGTGCTGGGGGTCTCTAGGGCTATACCCAGAAATGCTTGGGGTTATGGTGGTCCAAAGTTCAAACCTGGTTCTGATTCCATGCTTTGCATGTACCCCTGACTGCTGAGCTGTCCTCCTGGTCCCCCCATTTTGTTTTCAGTACTTTTGCATTGTGGAGACCACATTTCATGATGTTAGAGAGTGAAGGCATGTGGTGCCAAGGACAACACCCAGAACCTTGCATATGCAGGGCCTCCACTGCATCATTTGAGTCACTTCTCTGGCCCCCTCAATTTTTGGAGTCATGTGTACCTTGATTGGAATTGTTCTGTCACTGGTAGATGCTGACCTTCACGACATTAACTAGCTCAGATTCGCTTGCAAGAGCCTTCCGTTGATTTCATTTATTCAAAGCACCCTCAAATGTACAGGCACAGATTCAATAGGCACCTAAAACTAACTATATTGGTTGGTTTTATGATCAGGACTTCTGATACTTATTTCTGTTTCTTGTCTTCAGTTTCCCTCCGCCTTTTTCAAAGGTAGAGTAAACATGTGTGCTGCCTTTTGCTATGAAGTTCTCAAGTGCTGTACCTCGAAGATCAGCTCAACTAGGAATGAAGCCTCTGCACTTTTGTATCTCCTGATGAGAAACAACTTCGAGTACACTAAAAGAAAAACCTTCCTGAGGACACATCTTCAGGTCAGTGTGAACAAAAGCTCCTCTTTTTTCCTGTCTTCATTATTTAACCTAGTGATCAGTATTTCCCAAAGTGGATAAGAATTGCCACAGAATATTTGCAGGGAATGGTGGTAGACCTGAGCACAGTGGGAAGAAGTGGCTCTTTCTTTTTATTTGCCTAGCACTGTAGCACTGTCCTCCCATTGCTCATCAATTTGCTCGAGCGGGCCCAGTAATGTCTGCATTGTGAGACTTGTTGTTACTGTGTTTGGCATATCGAATATGTCACAGGGAGCTTTCCAGGCTTTGCCATGCAGGCAAGATACTCATGGTAGTTTGCTGGGCTCTCGGAGGGAGGAGGAGGAAGCAAACCTGGGTCCGCCCTGCTGACCGCATGCAAGGCAAATGCCCTACCGCTGTGCTATCACTCCAGCCCTTATTTGCCTAAAGAAAGTAGATTTATAGGAGGTGATTGTTTTTTGTTTCTTTTTTTTTCCTGAAAAGTGGGTGGTAGGTCAAATAAGTTTAGGAACTTTTTTGTTTTTATACTGTACCCAGTGAGACTCAGGGCTTACTTCTGGCAGTGTGTTCAGGAATCACTCTTAGAGGTGCTCACAGAGGCCATATATGTATGGGGATCAAATTCAGGCCAGCCATGTACAAGGCAGGTGCCTTCCCCACTACATTATTGCTTCATCCCAAGTTTGGGAATGTCTACATAGATCATAATGTAGCACTACCCAGTCCCAAAGAGGGACCCAAGTGTTAAGTGTGGCCATTTAACACTTGAACTCTGCCTAATCCAAGTTGAGATGTGCTTCAACTGTAGAATACTCATTGGCTTTTATTTTTATTTTTTTTATTTCTTTCTTTTTTCTTTTTTATTTATTTATTTATTGAATCACCGTGGGAAAGGTTACAAAGCTTTCAGGTTTAGGTCTCAGTCATGCAAATATCAAACACATTTCCCTTTACCAATACTTATTTTTTCCCATGAAGAACCCCAATAAAACCCCACCCCCCACCCCTCCCAGTCCCTGTGGGGCAGATGAATTCTAGTTAACACTCTATCTGCTTTGATTAGATTCATTGTTTCAATAAAAGATTCACCACTATTATTTAGAATTTACCCCCCGCCCCCCAATCAGACATGCTGCAAAAGCATTGTGAAGTGATTTGCTTTCTACAGCTGGGTTCAAGAATTAAATGTTGGTTTTGGATTTCTGCTATTTTACTTATTGACCCTGGAAGTATTTCTACTGAAAGTCAGATAGTTAAGAAATTGGTTTCTGTGCTCTGGAGTCGTGGCCGTGCTGGAGAGCCGCTAGGGGCGGGGGGCAACTGGTGGCCTCGGTAGGGCGTGAAGGGCGGACCGAAACGCCCCCCTTCCCATGAGGTTTTAGTCGTCCCCACTCCCCCGGCTCATACCTGCTGTCCACAAGGCTCCCATGCGGCCGCCATCTTTCTTTCCAGAGAGGAGAAGGCGACTGGGGCAACACCCTTTCCCCTCCGGACAGACATGATGACCTGGATTAACGCATAGTCCGTTCACTTTTCTGCTCCAAGCTGCCGGGTTCTGTATTAAGTCCTTGTGCTTCTGGGGCCATGGCCGTGCTGGAGAGCCGCTCGCGGGGGGCAACTGGTGACCTCGGTAGGGCGTGAAGGACGGACCAGAACGCCCCCCTTCCCATGAGGTTTTAGTCGCCCCCACACCCCCGGCTCATACCTGCTGTCCACAAGGCTCCCATGTGGCCGCCATCTTTCTTTCCAGAGGGAGGAGGGCGGAAGGGAGCAACACCCTTTCCCCTCTGGCAGACTTGATGGCCTGGGTTAACACATAGCCCGTTCACTTTTCTGCTCCAAGCTGCTGGGTTCTGCATTAAGTCCTTGTGCTTCTGGGGCTGTGGCCGTGCTGGAGAGCCGCTCGTGGGGGGCAACTGGTGACCTCGGTAGGGCGTGAAGGACGGACTGGAACGCCCCCCTTCCCATGAGGTTTTAGTCGCCCCCACACCCCCGGCTCATACCTGCTGTCCACAAGGCTCCCATGCGGCCGCCATCCTTCTTTCCAGAGAAGAGAGGGCGAATGGGGCAACACCCTTTCCCCTCTGGCAGACTTGATGGCCTGGATTAACGCATAGTCCTTTCACTTTTCTGCTCCAAGCTGCTGGGTTCTGCATTAAGTCCTTGTGCTTCTGGGGCTGTGGCCGTGCTGGAGAGCCGCTCGTGGGGGGCAACTGGTGACCTCGGTAGGGCGTGAAGGACGGACCGGAACGCCCCCCTTCCCATGAGGTTTTAGTCGCCCCCACTCCCCCAGCTCATGCCTGCTGTCCACAAGGCTCCCATGTGGCCGCCATCTTTCTTTCCAGAGAGGAGAGGGCGAATGGGGCAACACCCTTTCCCCTCCAGCAGACTTGATGGCCTGGATTAACGCATAGTCCGTTCACTTTTCTGCTCCAAGCTGCTGGGTTCTGCATTAAATCCTTGTGTTTCTGGGGCTGTGGCTGTGCTGGAGAGCCGCTCGTGGGGGGCAACTGGTGGCCTCTGTAGGGTGTGAAGGACGGACCGGAACGCCCCCCTTCCCATGAGGTTTTAATCGCCCCCACACCCCCGGCTCATACCTGCTGTCCACAAGGCCCCCATGCGGCCACCATCCTTCTTTCCAGAGAAGAGAGGGCGAATGGGGCAACACCCTTTCCCCTCTGGACAGACATGATGGCCTGGATTAACGCATAGCCCGTTCACTTTTCTGCTCCAAGCTGCTGGGTTATGCATTAAGTCCTTGTGTTTCTGGGGCTGTTAGCTCCAAACTTAACTATGATTTTCAGAGAGAAACGTTGGGTGGTTTACTTCCCATGGATAACTTTGTATATAGAGAGATGTTGCGCGGCCGTGCGGTTTTGAGGAAAAGTCCTAGTTCCCGCATACTCGAGCTGTGCTTGTAGAGGCTTCTGGTCACCGGGGTTCCATCTGGGGGAGGCGGGATGCGGTACCTACCCCATCTGGGACTTCCCGATGATCTCGGCTCTTTTTGGAACCTGTTTTTTTTTTTCCTTCGGGATCTGTGGATCCCGCCCTCCATGTAGTCCTTCTCTTCGGCTGAATGCTGTAAAGATGGCCTACTCATTGGCTTTTAAAGACTAAATACTGAAAGGCTATATATATTAAAATAGTATTTTGAACATAATGACTCAAGCAAAATTTACCTGCATCTTTCACTTTTTATTTATTTATTTATTATTAGTGAATCACCATGACGTACAGTTACAGGCTTACAAACTTCTGTGCTTGCGTTTCAGTCATACAATGATCGAGTACCCATCCCTCCACCAGTGCCCATTTTCTACCACCAATGGTCCCAGCATCCCTCCGACCACACCCACCCCGTCCCCTCCACCCTGCCCCACCTCTGTGGTAGGGCATTCCCTTTTGGTCTCTCTCTCCTTTTGGGTGTTGTGGTTCGCAATAGAGGTATTGAGGGGCCATCATGTTCGGTCTACAGTCTACTTTCGGCATGCATCTTTCAACTCGAATGGGTCCTCCCAAAATCCTTTACTTGGTGTTCCCTTCTCTATCTGAGCTGCCTTTTCCCCCAGCATGTGAGGTTGGTTTCCAAGTCGTGGAGCAGATCTCCTGGTCCTTATCTCTACTACTCTTTGGTGTTAGTCTCCCTTTCTGTTACTTTATATTCCACAGATGAGTGCAATCTTTCTATGCCTGTCCCTCTCTTTCTGACTCATTTCACTTAACATGATACTTTCCATATTGATTCACTTATATGCAAATTCTATTACTTCATCTTTTCTAACAGCTGCATAGTATTCCATAGTGTAGATGTACCAATGTTTCTTTAACCAGTCATCTGTTCTTGGGCACTCGGGTTTTTTCCAGATTCACTTTCTTATGTGACTACTAGGCAATTTAAAGTGACATCTGTGGCTCATATCCTAAACTTTTTCTTTTCACCATTCCTTTATACCCAAGAAATTTTTACATGATCTCAGGTTTACAAGAATATATGATAGATGTATAAATAAAATATTTACTGATCATAAATAAATGCTGGTTCTAGGGACCCAATCAGAGTCTCCTGAATACAAAGCAAAGATCCTTAAAGTAAATTTTAAGGATTTTTTGTGACACACGTCTCACCCTACATTCACCTACACAACCCCATGGTAAGAAGCTAGAGGCTAGAGCTTAGGAATTTAAAGCATAGACTCTAGTTCAAGATTCCGTGGCTCCCACAAACTGTGTGACCTTGAGTATTACTCTCATAGTCTCTTGGTGTCTCAGTTTCCTACTGTGAGGCAAGTGGTAAAACCAGAGAGATACTGTAAGGAGGGTGAAGCGATTGCCTTGCACCAAGCTGACCCTGGTTTAATCCCTACATCACAGAGGGTTTCCTAAATTCCATCAGGAATGATTCCTAAGCACATAACCATAGGTAAATTCTGAGCATCATTAGATGTTCCCCCACCCTCCAAAAAGTGGTAAGTACACCTACGATCTTATGTTGTGAGACTTCCTTGGATGCTTGGCATGGAAATATTTGCTAGATACTCTATAACAGGTAATGTAGTTTATGATTTTTATGTGTCAAGCACACTCACTTAATTTAAAACATGAGAGAAGGCTCAAGGTTCAGTGGAAAGCATGGACTTTAGATATAGACCTACTTAGTCTTAATTTATAGCTCAATTGCTTATTTACTCGGTGTCCCTAGACAAATTACTCAGCCTGTCTTGACAATTTTCGTGCTTTATGAAGTGAAGCCAATAACCATTTCATCTTGTAAGGATTATCATAAGGATTAAGATAATTTGTGTGTAGAATGTAGCATAGTTTATAGCAATTATGGATACTTAGTACATGGTGGACTAGAGCAATATAGCACAGCAGGTAGGGCGTTTGCCTTACATGTGGTCAACCCGGGTTCGATTCCTCCATCCCTCTTGGAGAGCCTGGCAAGCTACCGAGAGTATCCCACCTGCACGGCAGAGCCTGGCAAGCTCCCTGTGGCATATTTGTTATTCCAAAAACAATAACAACAAGTCTCACAATGGAGACGTTACTGGTACCTGCTCGAGCAAATCGATAAACAATGGGAGGACAGTGCTACAGTGCAGTGCTAGTACATGGTAACTGTTATTCAGCATCTCCATGATGATGTATTACTTTGAAGAACTAACTCTGAATTAAACTACAGTTGAAACTTCTTGGCTCAGTAGGCCTCTTTGTAATTATGGGAAATTCTTGGTTATATTTTTATCTTCTCTGCCATGGTCTGTCCCATTGGAGTTTGTCATTGGAGACCGGGTTATAAATGGGGAAACAGCCATAAGCAGTCTTTTTTTTAAACATGTCATCAGGAATGTGAAAATCTGATAGAAAATATGCTTCCCATAATATTCTTCAATGGAATAACTTTTGGATAAAAAAGGACAGCATTAAATGCATGTTGGGCACCAAGTACAGTAGAAACAAGGGCCAGAAGGGCTAGTCCATGTTTGGAAGCCTTTCTCAAGTGCTAGGGGAAAGGGCAGTTGGAATAGAGAAGGAAACACTATGATAATGATGGTTGGAGAGATCGCTCTAGATAGGAGATGTGAGCTGAAAGTGGATAAAGGACCAAACATGATAGCCTCTCAGTATCTGTATTGCAAATCATAATGCCCCAATGTAGAGAGAGAGTAAGAAGAAAAGTGCAGGCTAGGAAGTTGGGTAGCAGTAGGGAATCTGAGGACAATGGTGGTGGGAAATGTACGCTGGTGGAGGACTGGGTGTTGGAACAGTGTATGACCGAAACCCAATTATGAAGGCTTTGTAACTGTGTATTTCATGGTGATTCAATAAAAGAGTTAATTTAATTTGAAAAAAAATAAATGCACGTTAGGGCTTCTACCATTTCCATCCCATCAGTGCTGCCAGCAATTCTTGTCCAACCTGGCTGGCGGTTCAGTACTCAAGCCTGAGGATACATTGCTGCTTTGGGCTCTGCAGTGCTTGGAATTACTTGAGGCTACCTCTGTGGTGTTTATGAGCCTTCAGGAATGCATCAAGTGATGCTCAGAGGATCATGTGACAGGAATGGAACTGGTGTTGGGTATATGCAAGGCATGTGCCTTAATCTCTATTTTCCCAGCCCCTTATCATTTCCTTTCAGGTGTCACTTGAATACCTAACCTTCACCCCAAGAAGTATTTCTTCAATGTGTGTTCTAATATGTTAGGAATTCTCTATTGAAAATCAAAATATTAGAATCATTCTTCTGAGTCAAAGCTTCATTTCATTCAAATCCTTTTTTCAGATATAAATGAATTACTAAGTTTGAAGACTTATAACCCTGTAAACCACATAGTAAGTGTTCAATAAAAGGCTACCTAAATTATAACCCGGATTTGATTCCTCTGTCCCTCTTGGAGAGCCCGCAAGCTACCGAGAGTATCCCGCCTGCACGGCAAAGCCTGGCAAGCTTACCTGGGGCATATTTGATATGCCAAAAACAGTAACAGCAAGTCTCACAATGGAGACGTTACTGGTGCCTGCTCGAGCAAATCGATGAACTATGGGAGGACAGTGTTACAGTGCTATATCTCTTAAGTTTCTGTAACAGCTCTGTAAAGCCAGCAATGTTGTCTTTACATATTGCAAACAAGGAAAGTGAGGCACAGAAGGCATAGATTTCTCAAAGGCCTCCAGTGTATCATTAATAAAATGACCATTAGTGTCTTGGAGTTTGCTTTTGGACCTCCTTGGTTATAGTTTCTACAGTACTCTGATTCGCAGAGTTAAGGTAAAGTGTGTATCCATTGGGTCATTTGTATTCAGTGGTTAACATATAAACCATCTGGCCATTCAACCAGAGGAGGGTGAGATTACAAAGCACCATCAAATTTATTACAGAAACTACTGTTTAAAGTTGGTAACCCTCATCAGAAACCAATACTGTGGAGCTGGGGGCAGGCAGGGGGAAGGGGGTACAGCCCAGCACACTGAAATAGTCTAGTGTAAAGGAAAGAGAAGCCATTGAATTTTTTTGACTTTTGGGTTACATTTGGCACTTGGCAGTGCTCAGGGTTTATCCTCACTCTATGTTCACAGGTCATTTCTATTCATGCTTGGGGATCCTGTGTGGTTGTAGGGATAAACCTAGTGTTTACTGCATGCAAGACACTACCTTAACTCTTGTACTCTCTCTCCAGCTCCCAAGAAGCAATTTTTAAATATTGTAGGCCCCAAGTTTTCATGAGCCACTGCCTAGTAAGTATACTCAGAATGGAGACTACAACATTGTATCATATTAGTACTGGAAAAATCAGTTTAAATCTAGCTGTACTATGAGTTTTTAAAAAAATATTTCACTTGTAGCCCAGAAAAGTCACAACTCATTTTGAGACTGGAACTTGGAAATTGATACTCTAGTAGAGGAATGAAAACTTAGCCTCATGTATGAAGAAAACCAGTTCTGATGAGATGGTGTAGAGTTTTTAAAGGGGGCCTTTAATATGAATGCACACAGTCTTATACAATGATGAAAAGAAGCTGCATTTGTTCAAAGGAATTTGTAAAACAATTTTTGCTTTTTCTTTTTTTTTATCATTTTTTATTTATTTTTTATTTTATTTTTATTTTTTTTTTATTAGTGAAACACCATGAGGTACAGTTATAGACTTCTAAATTTTTGTGCTTGGGTTTCAGTTATACAATGATCAAGTACCCATCCCTCCACCAGTGCCCATCCTCCCCGACCACGGGTCCCAGCATGCCTCCCACCCCTCATCCCCCCCGTCCCACCCTGCCTCTGTGGCAGGGCATTCCCCCTTGTTCTCTCTCTCTTCTTTTGGGTACTGTGTTTTGCAAGAGAGGCATTGAGTGGCAATCATGTTTGGTCTATAGACTACTTGTAATTTTTGCTTTTTCTTACAGATAATCATTGCTGTAAGCCAGCTGATAGCTGATGTAGCACTCAGCGGAGGCTCAAGATTTCAGGAGTCTTTATTCATTATCAATAATTTTGCAAATAGTGACAGACCTATGAAGGTATGTTCTCACTTCATGAAATACATTAGAAACTCTCTTTACTGTTGGGGAGGCTTAGACGCCTCAGTGAGACTGTCATTGGGTTCATAGCTCTTGATAGTGTGGAACATGTAGACTTTCGGCTTTTTGAGTTAAGATTTTGTCTTGTACCCCACTGTAATCCTAGCCCATGAAACACCACCTATACATAGCAGACATTCAGTATCAGCTGGATGGATGAACGAATGACTAAACTGTGCAGTACAATACTTAGGCCAGTGGAATTTGACTTCTTTTCTGGACATGATTTCCAAATATACTGGGGGAGTAAACACACCTTCTGTCTGAACAGTTGTTTCCATTTATAATATTGGTTAATTAAGCACTGAATTGGAAAGTTTACAAAAACCTCACTTCTAATTGTTGTCTGATCTGTTTCCAAGAGATGAGGAATGTCACAGAGGGGATTTATTATCTGATGATTTTTGGTGTTTCAAGAATCCTCTCTGGGAGCCGGAGCGATAGTACAGTAGGTGGAGTGTTGCTTTGCACGCGCCGACTCAGGTTTGATACCCAGCATCCCATATGGTCCCCTGAGCACCACCAAGAATAATTCCTGAGTGCAGAGCCAGGAATAACCTCTGAGTATTGCTGAATATGACCCAAAAAGCCAAAAAACAAATCATCTTTGAAGTACTTTTGATGTGCTATTAATTCTGGAAAATCCAGGCTAAGACTATTGTTCTTAGTATTAATTGAACTGCTACCAAACCAAATGTCTCTTTTGTGCTTAAAACGGAAATGATTGTCAAAATATATTTGTTGTTGCCTGGGGAGCAGGTTGTCATCTTCAGCCTGTAGAGGACTTTTCCTCCCAGAGGAATTATCCCCATTCTTGGGAAAGGTCATCTTAATTTAACAATATTGTGTAAAATCTGGAAAAAGAAAAAAAAAAACCCTAAAAGCTTGCAGTCATAGCATACTTGATGTTTGGGACGTGTAGAATCTATGTTCTAAAAAAGATTCCCATAGGAACTGCACTGAGACTGAAGAAAACAGAATTGAACGAGCCATTCTCAGGCTGGGAAAGTGCTTTGCAGCCAGTTCGACTGGTTCCCTGGGGGATCCAGTGTATGCGCCCAATTAAACTCATGAGCACAGTAGCAAGTTATGTCATGTAGAACCTTCTAGTCATGAAATTTCTTTTCCAAGTTATTAGCATTCTTAATTTCATCATATATGAAAGTCAGATTAGCAATACATTTCCAGGTAAATGGGGTTAGTGTGGACCTTTTGATTGGAAATCTTATGCCTGACTCATTTCTGAAATAACTTTGGATTCTGTTCTGCTAGGGCAATGTTTGCCAATAAACCATTTTATAATAAGGTATGCCATGCCCCAGTAAATGAATTCATTAAGGTATAAGCAGGAACTTGTATATATTACTTTTTTAAGGATCAAGAAGTCAGTTCCTCAACATTTGGTTATTTTCACATTAACTCCCTCCCCTGCCAACACACATTCACACTTATTCCTTAAACACGATCTAGAAATCTTAGATACTTAGAAGAGTTAAAAAAAGCAATAGGACTTTTTGTCTTTCTTTGTTTTGTATGGCGTTTACAGGTAGTGTTTCTTGGGAGCTGCTCCTGTTAAAGTGTTCAGGGGTCGCTCCCAGTGGTGCTCAAGGATCCTTGTGGTGTTGTGATGTAAGCCTGGGGGTTTCCATATGCACAGTATGCTTTCCAGGCCTTTGAGCCATCTCCTTAGACCTGTGGTTGTATTTCCTTAATAGTGGGCAGGATAGAGAAAAAACTCTTAACTTCTCCAACTTAATATTTTAGGGAACAAAACCAACACATTGAAAGAGGTTGAGGAGTTCCTTAAACTCCTTTAAGTGTTCTGTGATTCATAACCTCTCATTTGTACTAAGTGATAACTTTGTCAGTATGGTTGTCACTTGAGTGTCTGGGCTGGCCTTGAGTGGAAGGACTAGATATGCTTGTGAATAGGAATGAGTGGCTGGTTAACACTAGCTCTGAAGCCAGACTGCCCACCGCTAAGTCCTGTATCTGCCACTTATCTAGGGCAGGACTTTGGCTGAGTTACTTGACTAATCCCCACCTCAGTTTTCGTGCTTGTAAAACAACTTATAATAGTACTTCAATTACAATTAGGGCTGTTGTAAAAATCAACATATCTGAAGCACCTAGTTCACTGTTCACTGCCTGGTACATTGTCAGCTATCAAAATTTTTTAGTGACCATTGAAACTAAAAAGCATTATGGTCAAATTCACAATGGAGGAGCAAAGGTTCAAAGCCAGGTAATCTAACTCCAGATTCCATTCTTTTTTGTGTGTGGAGGGACTTCCCTAGTGGTTCTCAGGAGGTCACTCCTGATAATTTTGATGGTTCAAATGCTTGGGCCTGGCAATATGATGTTTCTTATGTAGTCCTGGTGGTGCTGTGAGCCATACTTACATGTATTATGAATATACTTCTCTCATCTCTTAAATGTAGGTAGTTGGACATAGTTTACAAGAATGAATTTAATATGTGAGACATGCACCCACATCAGGAACCATAAGGCAAAAAAATGTCGCCAGTAAAAATTGTATGTTGTTCTCAGGATAGGATGTCAAATGTTTGATCATTTTTTCTTTTCTGTTTGTTTTCAAATTAGGCAACTGCTTTTCCTACAGAAGTAAAAGATTTGACCAAGAGAATCCGCACTGTTCTTATGGCCACTGCTCAAATGAAGGAGCACGAGAAAGACCCAGAAATGCTAATTGACCTACAGTATAGCTTAGCCAAGTCCTATGCCAGCACTCCAGAGCTCAGAAAAACCTGGCTTGATAGTATGGCCAAGATTCACATCAAAAATGGAGATTTTTCAGAGGTGACTAATAAAAGTTTCATTGTAAGCATCACCTGACCAAAAAAGAAATGCTGAAGCTCACTGTAACCCTTTTGTTTTTATCATCCCTTTTCAGGCAGCCATGTGTTATGTCCATGTAGCAGCTTTGGTGGCAGAATTTCTTCATCGGAAAAGTAAGCCATTCCTTGTTTTCAATTCAGTTTCCACCATCTTTTTTTATCTTTGCCACTTTCAATAATGAATGTGATTTAATTGAGCTCTGAAAAAATAGTCACATTTCACTTCATGGTTTTTAACAGATGTCACTTAGAAAATAACCATGCAATTGTTCATTTTGCCTTGCTTTCATTGAGAGTAAGTATAAGAACAGTGTAGGCCCAGATCTCGTACCAAATGGTTATTTTCTACTGTTTCCCTGGAAGACTGCCACAGATTAAATTCTTTGTAGAACTCATGAGAAACTCAAGATGATAAAAATTACTTACATTTCCTCATTTGTCTCAACTGTGTAATCAACTGGCAACTGCCCCAAACTATGGCTTTGTAGCCACTAAAACTGGTGCCTATGGATTAGCAAGATGGCCCATGAGACACATCCCTTATTTGTGTACCCTCTTCAGTCACAATTTTGCAGATATCCACAGACAGAAATGTCTTTCTGTGAAGCTCTGAGATCTAGCATCCAACACTAGGAAACCTGGGAGGAATTTCACCTGTCTATATGTTGGCCAGTGGGTATGCTGACCTCAGTCCTAGTTGTGGATTATTCAGGGACTCCTTCCCCTCTTACTAGTGGCTCACAGGTCACCTTGACAATGCTGTCTTAGACAGTCACCACAGACCAGAAATTTCTGGTGGACGATGAGGAGTTCAATGGAGAAGTTCTGGCCTGGTGTTGGAACATAAAATTTCAAATTTGGATAGGTGTTTAAGAGGGGCTGGAGCGATAGCACAGCAGTAGGGCGTTTGCCTTACAAGCGGCCAACATGGCTGACCCGAGTTCAATTCCTCTGCTCCTCTCGGAGAGCCCAGCAAGCTACCGAGAGTATCTTGCCCGCACGGCAGAGCCTGGCAAGCTACCAAGCTACCCGTGACGTGTTCGGTATGCCAACCACAGTAACAACAAGTCTCATGATGGAGACATTACTGGGCCCGCTCGAGCAAATCGATGAACAATGGGAGGACCGTGACCGTGACTGTTTAAGAGGGGAAAGCCAAAGCTTTCCTTTCTAGTCTAGCACTAAGAAAGTGTTTCTTGACCCAGGAGATTCCTCCTTGGGAGGATGGCAAGTAAATGAGAATCTGACTTCCTCAGAGTTACAGAACTCCACAAAATCCCACTCCTTTCAAAGATCATACAGAACACTGAGTCCTGTGCTGCATGACAAGAGGGGCAAAGGCTGGGTGGGAATCTGCAGATAGGACTTTTGGAGGCCAGTAGAGGAACAGATGTTCTCTTAACCATGTTGCAAGTTCCATCAGGAAGACTATCCTAGGGCCAGAGAGATAAAAATGGTGTTAAGGAGCATGCCTTGCATGCAGTTAACCCTTGTTCTCTTCCCAGCATCACATTATCCCCATGCATCATCTCCTGCAGCCCTGGAGACCCCAGCACTGATGGAGTGGTTTGAATATCCCTAGTACTGCAGACCTGGGCAGCACTGTCTCTGCAGAGCCTCACATTGAATCACTAGCCTTGATGCTTAAGAATCACCAGGATTCTCCTTTGAGCCTTTGAGAGCTCTTCAAATGAAGCCTACCTGAAACTACTGGAGACTTTCCACCTGAGGATTCCCCTTTATCTACTCTCAATGTCCCTTGGGGCCTTATGCACCTCGGACCACTATTCTCTCTCCTTTAGCCAAGTCCCTATGATTGCTTCTGATGATAGTGACAGCAGATTTTGGGAGACAACTGATAGACATGTGCACAAAGCCAGCCAGTGTCTGTGGACCAGAGCTCTAGCATCATTTTCAGTATACTTAGTTTCCTTGGCAATGTAGGATAAAGAGAGGTAGACACGGCTTAAGAATCCTGTCACAAAAAGGGGCCACATGTGACTACTGCCATATCTATTATAGGGCCTGTGAGGACTTCAGCATTCCTCTCAGGATCGATGGAGATATTTCTCAAAATATCAGTTGGAAAATAAGATGAGAGGTGACTGCTGCTCTAAATGCAATAACAACAGTCCCACACTGTCAGAACAGGGGGAAAGGGAGAAATATACACCACCAAAGGATCAGTTACCTTCCAGTAGTCAACCTCAAAGACATGGAAATGTTCAGAGTATCTAATAAAGAATTCTAAAGAACTGGTGGAAGTGTAGAAAGTACTTCCAATTTGGTGCTCAGAGGTCCTTGCAGTGCTAGAGATCAAACCCATTGCTCCTATATGCAAAACATGTGAATCTCCCTGGCTCCTCAAATGTCTGTTCCATGGAAGCTCAATGAGCTGCAATAAAATAGAATGGCAATTTATTAAAATCAGAAAAACAACACATGACCAAAGTTAGATTTTCACAAAGATACAGAAATCATAAAAAAAATAAGAAGAGCCTAATGGAGCCCCAGGAGATGGCTCAGTGGCAGAAAAAGAAAAGCACGGGCATTACATGCAGTTTGATCCCCTATTCCACCCACATTTGCTGACAGCGGTCTCTGCAGTACTGCTGCCTGGGATCTCTGGCACTGCAAACAATCGGGGAATCTCTAGAACACCATACTCAGGCATGCTCATGCACTGCAACTAAGGATGTGTGATCGTAATTGCCAGCCTTACAACCCCTAGGAAGCGTGTTTGTGTCCCCAACAGCAACTCTCAGCAGGTTCTACAACCAGATCAGAATGTGCTTGAGCACCACAATTTAAGGATGAACCCCGAGGAGTACATCACGTGATAGCACCACAATCAAGCTGACCCCCAAGTCATTTACCCTGACAAAAACAATGAAAGTGAGGGAAGGGATGAAAAAAGAGCAAAACAAGTTCTGGAGCTGAAGAATAAAGCAAAACAAGTTAAAAATGCACCAGAATCATTACCAGCAGAATGGGATCTAGCAAAGGCAATAATCTGAATTAGAAGGCAGGACCATTGCAATTATCCAGTCATAAGAGAACAGAGAAATAAAAGGAGTGAAGAAAGCCTGCAAGACCTATGCAACACCATTAAAAGAAACAATCTGTAGGGGTCTAGAGGTACAGGGAGATGGCTCAAAGAGCTAGAGTTCATAATTTACAAGCAGGAGCCCTGGACTGGATCCCCAGCACCCTGGTTAGAGGAGCATTACTTCGTATATACATAACCACATACCAAAAACTGGGAAAAACAAACATCACTTGTATTATTGGAGCTGTGGGGAAGAGAAAGAGAAAAAAGAAAGCATAATTTAAGAAATTGAGAAATTCCCAAATCTGCTGGGGGAACAGAACATACAAATTTATGAAGCTTGTGGATCTCTAAACAGTGTAAAAAGTCTCAATGACACATAATACAACTGTCAAAAATCAAAGACAGGAGAGATGGGAATTATATTTTGGTCATTTTACCATTTGCACAAATTCCAAATCACTGTAATATAAACCTGAAACCAGTATCACTTCATAGGTCAATTTTTTCCCAATTTTTAAAATCAAAGGAGAATAACAATTTGAATTTCTTTGTCCGGTACATAAATTCTAAATGGAAAGAGGTGCTGTGCCAGAGTGACAGTACAGTGGTAGGGCACTTACCTTGCATACATCTGACCTGGGTTTAATCCTCAGCCTGCCAGGAGTGATCCCTGCACACAGAACCAGGAGTAAGCCCTGAGCACTGCTGGGTGTGGCCCAACAACCAAAAGAAAAAAAAATAAATGGAAAGAAAGTTTAACAAAAGTCGGTCCTGTTTGAGATACTTTTCTCTACATCATTTATCTGCCTGTGAAATAAGGATAAAAATTAAAATTGAGATTGCACACCTCCATTTCCAAATAAAGTAGCAAATAAAGGACCTGTACACATGTTGCTAATTGAAATTCCAGGTGTATCATTCAAACAAAGGATGTTAATATTAACTCATCTTTTCAGTGAGTAGAATCAGAAAGAAAGTTTTATATTCACCATGTGCAAAACTAGACTTGGGAGTGGGAAATATATGTCCTGGGGCTGCATAAGGTCTGTGAGATTCTGTAATATGCCACTGTTGGGTGACAGGACACACGTAGGCTTTACCTCAACTGCGCGTGGCCTGTCTGCCTCTATTGTATGGCCTGTGAATGTTGTCATAAATATCCAATGCCCCTTGACAGTAAAACATTCCCTTTCTGTGCCGTTTAGATATTGAAAATGGTTAAATATACAAAATATTCTCTTGAATCTTTTTCACAAATGCAAAGAGCTTAAAATACAGAAATCAAAATTCTTTATCTACATTATCTTGCCATTAAGTTTCAAAAGTATAACTTAGGATTAGATAAAAGAGCAACTAAGGTAGAACCTAAGTTTTGTTGTGGGTTTGGGTCATAAGCATAAGGTAGCTGTCCTGAACACCAAATAATGTGGCATGTTTCAACAACTGGAAATAGTTCCTGTAATTAATCATTTTAGTATTATTTCATAGTAATCGTGGGGACTTGTTTAGATGTTTCCTTTATTGAAATCAAAAATCTCTTCTCTGAGTAAACCTTCTCTGAGTAAGAAAGAAAATAATGTTTTGCATTTGAAGAAAAAAATGTTAAAATTAGGGGATGTTTACATATTTATAGGTGGCATCTATTTCTAAACATAGAAAATTCAACTTGCGGGGCTGGAGAGATAGCACAGCGGGTAGGGCGTTTGCCTTGCACGCGGCCAACCTGGGTTCGATTCCCAGCATCCCATATGGTCCCCTGAGCACCGCCAGGAGTAACTCCTGAGTGCAGAGCCAGGAGTAACCCCTGTGCATCGCCAGGTGTGACCCAAAAAGCAAAAAAAAAAAAAAAAAGAAAAGAAAATTAAACTTGCTTACACCATAAAAACTTTAATCTAAAATTGTGGTGGTAGTAAAATCCTTATGGTATTTTTCCCACTTTTCTTTAGTCACTCTGGTAATCCATATCACCTTCTTTTGTCAGTGATTCAGCTATGATAACTATAGAAAGAAGACTGCTAATTTAAAATATACATTACTCTGATCTGTTAACCTGTTATCAAAC